GAAGGGGCTGCGGTGCGCGTGGTCGCCGCTGGGGGCCCGGCTCTCTCCGCAATGGCCGGCGCAGTCTTCAGAGACTGCAGAAGGGGCTGCGGCGCGCGTTGTCGCCGCTGGGGGCCCCTACGATTCTGCGCGTTACTGCCATTGTGATTTGCAAAGCATTGGTTGTGACAGGCTGCGAATCGCATTGCAATGGTTACGGCAAAAATGTGGCGCACCCTGTGTCTGTGCACTACTGCCATTGTGATTTCCATAGTATTGGTTCTCGCCGTTTCGGAATCGCATTGTAAATGCTCCACTCCATTCCACTCCACTCCCCTCCACTCCCCTCCACTCCCTCACTCCACTCACTCCATCACTCCACTCACTCACTCACTCACTCACGCACTCACTCACTCACTCCACTCACTCCACTCACTCCACTCACTCCACTCACTCACACTCCACTCACTCACACTCCACTCACTCACTCCACTCACTCACTCCACTCACTCACTCCACTCACTCACTCCACTCACTCACTCACTCACTCCACTCACTCGCTCCGCCTCCTTCTCTCTCTCTCTCTCTCTCGTCCCTCTCATCCTTGTTCATCACATCATTAGACACTTTATTATACACACACACACACACGCACGCCATCTTACCACACACACACACCTCCTCCCTCCCCTCCTTCTCATCCTCGTCCATCACATCATCACTTATACTACACGTCTTAGCACAACCGCCTCATATACCTTCTCTCCTTACATTTCGTTCTTGACTTTTCATCTCACTACTCCGTCTCCCATGTGATGTTCATATACAATTGAAATTTGTAAAACTTATGATGTGGGATTATCCGGTCTTTTTATTTCAATTCTATTTTTATTGATAATAAAATTGGATCTAAATGAATTCTAAATTGAACTTGTTTTGAATATATAATAGATTTTGTTTTGAATATATAATAAATATATATTATAATTCTAAATTGAACCTAATTAAATATTAAATTAAGCTTATGTATTTTTAAAATTTATTATAGTTAAATTATAATTCAATTCTAATCTATTTTGTATTTGTAATTATCTTTGATTATTCTGGATCTAATATTAAATTTCAAATTGAACTTATATATGAATTTATAATATATGTCTAATTTAATTTTAATTTAAATATATTTGCATTCTATTTATTGGAATTTAATTTGTTTGAATTTGCAATTTTCATTAAATTGATTTTTTGTAATCTAATTTTATATCAATATTGCAATATTGTTCTATTAATTAACTCCTAGGTTAAATATCTTTAATTTAATTCTACCTTAGGTCTAGGTCAATTTCAATTTTTTTTGTTTTAATATTGTTTATTCAATTCCAAATTAAATCCAATTTATGTTTCATTTAATTCTATTTCATTTTGTTTTGCATTAAAATTGTAATTTTGTCTATTTCAATTTCCAATTGGTTTGTTAATGATTTCTAATATTAATATCTTTATATAAATTAAAATTAATTGATCTATATATCTAATTTTCTAATTTGATTCCAATTCAATGCAAATGGAATTCTATTTGAATTTTGTTTCCATTCTAATGAATGAATATTATTGGTGGTATGAATATATTTCATTAAAGAAAAAATATATTTCTATATTGGAAATATTTCATAAATATCTTTTATATTCAAAGCAAGATCAATTCCCTAGAAATAAATCCGAATTTCATAAAATCCAAATTCTAATTCAATACGAATGAAATAGTAGAATTGAATCTGAAGTATATAATAATGAAATTAAAGATAAAATCGAATTATAATGTGGTTTGTATTGAACCCCAATGAAGGAAATCTGAAGCAAAATAGAATTGAAATATAATTGAAATAGAATTGATCCTGAATTTAGATATAGATTCGAATTTGAATTGAATAAGAATTAAAATAGAATTTAGCTATTTAGGATTTATAATTTTCTGATGTATTTACCCAATTGCATTTAATAAGAACAATATAATTCCCATTCTAAAGAAAGAAATATAATTTTGCATGGGGACTATTTGGTAAACACCTAGCTTATGGATTTAATCATTTCTATAATTCATAATTGAATGAATAAATATATTTATCAATTGCATATAGAGCAGGAAATTTACAAATTTCACAACCCTATTAAAAAGATATCATTCAACATAAAGAACAAAACCTTACAAAAGAACAACTTTCACAAGCCTATCAATGCGTACAAAAGAACAAGTTTCACAAGCCTATCAATGCAAGAGAGATTGCTTGTTTATATTGTAATTTCCAGCATTTCAGCAGCAGATAGAAGGCTTTGAAGTAGAGAGTGCAAAAAACGTGCGTTTCTACAATATGCATACTCTCCCCCCCCCCCTCATCCCCCCTTCTGTAATAATAATAGAACCTCGAACGTTTGCCAATGGGATGTGTTTTCCAGTCGGGCAATACGTATGGCAAATCTATCTATGTTATTAAGTGGAAGCATTGGTTTCCGAGGCGCGAACCACCTGGGTAGGACAAAGAATAATGGATGATGATGAGGTCCAAGGAAACCAAAATTTCTCATGAAAATCCTATCCATGGGGGATTGCATACGTCTGTAATGAACCTGATGTTGTCTGACAAATACATAGTCTATGCGTGAATGATGCTGTCCGTGTGCAAAAGTGGAAACATAATATTGTTTATAATGACAGAGCTACCAAATCCTGTGTCCTCATTAGTTGTTGCAAAAATTCACGATCAATATGAATGTTCGAGGATGCACGAACATCATGATTATTGATGTATGGTGGATCGAACATTAGGATAATATTGAAATTATCCATCAGGACCATCTGGATCTGTCGAGGTATATGATGCAAAAAATGATGCAAATTGCTCCAAATCTTGGCCCGATTGGCAAGGAATTGATTTTTGCCCTTGGATGTATTCCATGAGTGCTGATACCCAATGATGAAGTTATATGTACAGTCCAGGAAAATGTGGATCTGAAGAATTCGATCATCTGAGTGGGATGCAGTGGCGATTTGTTCAGGACATATAACTATGTCCCGCATGGGCATCATGATGGATGCATTCTTCGTGGAGGAGTGTACGCAATGCCACTCATGGGATGTCCAGGTGGCATTAAGATATCCAGGTGGTATAATTATACAATGATGTCCAGCGGTTGTCTTCGGCACCAATGTAAAAATTCGTCATGAACCAGGGATTTGGAAATATTCCAAATTATGCATCTAAGGCCAAGAATTGTGACAGGAGATTTCTTCTATGTCAGCTGTTGGGAGTATCTTCTATAGGTTTCTTTGAAGCGCCAAGGCCGATCAATAACAAAAAAATATCTTTTTCGATATATCGTATATCCATGTTATAGGGCACGCAAACAGGCTCTTTTTACGTTCTTTTAATCGATACGATGCGCGGCCGGGAGGTAACTAGGCCGTAGCCCCCTCTAACCCAAATTCTAATGAACTTTGGTATCGAGAAATTCTAATATACAATTTTAAAAAAACATCCATTTTCATCCATCAATAAAATTATGAGCCAATAAAATCCAGAATCAAAAGGCATAAAAATTATGCCGAAAATAATTATAAATAAATAATTACCGAAATTCGAGACTAAAATAATAATAAAAAATAACAATAATCAATTAATTAATTATAATAATAAATAAAACATTAATTTCGTAGCATAAATTCATTTATATTTATATTATTATTTAATTATAATTCCATTTCGAATAAATTTATTTCCAAAATCCGAAATCAAAAATATGTTTTTTAAAAAATCACTAAGCAAAAACGAAAATCCCTAATAATATTTATAACTAAAATATTATATTATAATTATGCAAAATAATTTTTCCTATAATAATATATAATATTATCAATATATTATCGATATTTAATAAATATATTATCGTTTTCCAAATAACATGTAAATTCTATAGTTCCAATATCGAATCCTTTACTAAATAATTTTCCGTAAATAAATCAGGTTATTCATATATTATATATATACAATTATATATATTTATCTTCATTTTTCGATTCCCACTTATGGAGGAGATCTGACGTTAATTCTAACTAAAAATACGAATCGTTCTTGAAGATGTTGATGACCTTGCAAGTGTTGTGATTGCTCGGCGCAAAGTACAAGCAGAAAGTTGCTAAATACAATTCTGTCTTGCGAGAACCAGACCTGCTTGATCCTTCAGAGCGGTGAGTTCGGGTCAATCTTGCGAACCTCAACTGCCAGTGTTTGGCACCGTATCTGGCACTGAAGATTGCACTTGTCTCGCAGTTCATGGGTGCAGAGTTAGGTCTTGATATGCAAAACTCCATTCTGAACGAAGCATCTCTGCAACATGGCCATGGACACATTCGGCCAACGGACAAAATACAGTTGCATCCGAAATGCTGCGAACTTTACGCATTGGAACCCAAACGCATCAAGTAACTTGCAAAACGCTGAGTCAAAAGGACACCTCATTGCAGCTTAGAGTCCACCGGCGGTGTGGTCAACTTTCGCAAGCGTCCGATGCCCGAGGATTGTTGCAAAAGCCGCGTTTGCCTTGGCAGTGCTGAATCGCTCACGGCAGCTGCTGGAGAAAGGACGCGGCTTGCCATCATAGCAGGCTTGCAATGACTTGCCATGTGGGTAAGTAATCTGAATTGTCATGAAAGACTGATCTACAGCAAAAGAAGCTCCACAATAAATGGAAACTGTAAGACATTTCAAGCAGATCCTGCATCCTGCTGCAGGGGGTTTAGCTTGTTGTGCATCTGGATAGGTGCAAACGAGTTGCTTTGGCGAAGGAGGCCTAAGACTGTGAATCGATTGCTGAACTTCTATTTCTGCTGATCGGTTTGCCGTATTCTTTGCACCATCTTATGTACAGTTGACTGCGGCATTGCCACTTGCTTTGTGGCTCATGATACTACATTGCTTGCATTATTCCTGCTGATTGTACATTTACTAGCTTTATCCAGACCCGTGACCTTTGCGAAAAATAGAGACAACGTTCCCCGTAACACATATCAATCTCCAGTGACCCATCGGTCAAACCCATCGGTCATCGGATCACATCGGTCATCCGTTGCATCCCTCGGTAGCAGTGTTTCGTCGTAGTTTACGGCCTTGCTACGTTCGGTTAGCGTCCTCTTGTGACGCTCGTAGTGCCAGGAGCGCCCCGTTCAGTTCGATGCCATTTCGCTCCGTTCGATGCCCCGATGCCCTTTGTTCCGAACGTACGACCCGTAGCGTCCGTAGCGTCCTAGTCAGGTGACGATTCTACACCATCGTGACAGGTACCGCAGCCCTCTGTGGAGAAGCTCATAGTCGGAGGCCTCACGATCCAAAGAAGCTGTCACACGGACTGTGCGGTCAATTGCAATGAATAATCCAAGGCATTTCCTTGCAGCTAGGTAGACTCAACGATTTCTGAACATAAGGCAAATTCCATGTTCTTTAACATCTTCCTTGCTTCCCTATTGCTGTTGTGGGAAGCAGCTGCTGGTGTGCAAAAGTTTGGTTTGCTACTACTTGAAGATGTTCAACGTTAGGCTATAACATGTTATAGTAAAAGCCTCCTACCAACAGCCAAAACGAGTGCATCAAAACAGCACCAAGTACCGACCAAGCCCGGCCGATCAAACCCGATCGCACGACCAAGCCCGACCGCAGTTCAGACGAGTGACTCTGGCTCTCGATCATACTGAACTTTGTAGGAGTAGAAGAGAGGCGTGCCCATGATCCACACCGGTCCTGTTTGTCTTGTCCAGCTCACGATTTTGTCTACACTTGTGCTGCTTGCAAGAAAGTTATAGCTTTTAGATTCAACAATGAGACTTGGACAGAATTCAAAAATATGGGAGGCAAGAGATGTCCAGAGAAAGGTACACAAACATGTGTCTTTTTAAAGAGCAATGGCTCATCACACAACAAGAGAACGCTCGCCGGGGTGTAGGTCAGCTCATCACAAACCAGCACAGTACAGCTCACGTTATCACAAGCCTGGTGGCTTGGCGCTTGAGTCACTTGAGTATCTTGAGTATCCTCTAGGTGTCTTGAGTAGCAGATTTTCACACCATCACAACGCATCACAACCCATCACATCGCCACATATACTGTTAGCTTTCGCAAAATCAGAACGCACACCACATCACTGTGTTGCTGGAAGTAGTTTTCACACCACTCATCGCCACTTCACAAGTGAAACCATATCACCACGCATCACGCGGGAGACCATCACTCCACAAATCACATTATCGACCAAGCTGCAAATCACCTTGAAGCAACACTTTGTGTAACCAGTTCGGAAAACACGGAAAGCGGAGCAGCTGCATTTTATTGCTGGGTAGTCGGACCTCTTTTTTCATGGCTTTAACGGTGTTGTACGTACACTACGCAGAAGACCACCTGCCCAAGTCGAACGGCAGAGAAAACAAATATATAACCTTAAGTCTGTCGGGTTTTTACGATGTTATACGCACATGACGCAAAAAGACTACCTGCTCAAGTCAAACGGCAGAGAAAAACAGCCAAGTGGACGAACATCGCCGCAAAAAAGTAAAATAGCAGCAGCAAAGCCTTCAACATAGATCCCACAGCCCCAATCACTTCCAACATACCTCCACGAGAAGCCTCAACAGAGCCCCAACATTGGGCGAAACGTGCCAACATGGAGAAGGATATGCCCTAAGAATGCACCAAGATAGCCGAAGATTGGTGCAAACATGCCCCAAATTTGACTGCCCATTGGAGCAAGCTTTCGTAAGCAACAAAAACGACAAAAAAACTGTCAAAGCCACCTTTCTTACACTTGTCGGACCTCATTTTCATGGATTTATGGTGCTTTACGCACAGTACGCAAAAAACCACCTGCCAAGTCAATCGGGGCAGAGAAAAAGCAGCCAAGTGGACCAACATGGCCGCAAAACAAGTAACATAACAGCAGCAAAGCCTTCAACATAGCCCTGATCTAGACCCCACGGCCCCAATCACTTCCAACATACCTCCACGAGAAGCCTCAAGAGAGCCCCAACATTGGGTGAAATGTGCCAATATGGAAAAGGGTATGTCCCAAGAATGCACCCCACGGCCCCAATCACTTCCAACATACCTCCACGAGAAGCCTCAAGAGAGCCCCAACATTGGGCGAAACAATAACATAACAGCAAAGCCTTCGACATAGCCCTGATCTAGACCCCACGGCCCCAATCACTTCCAACATACCTCTACGAGAAGCCTCAAGAGAGCCCCAACATTGGGTGGATGGAGTGCTCCAATATGGAAAAGGATATGTCCCAAGAATGCACCAAAATCCCCGAAGATTTTCACGAACATGCCCCAAATTTGACCGCCCATTGGAGCAAGCTTTCGTAAGCAACAAAAACGACCAAAAAACTCTCAAAACAAACTTTCGTTACACTTGTCGGACCGCATTTTTCATCTTTTTTTGGCGTTTTACACGCACTACGCAAAAGACCACCTGCCCAAGTCAAACCGCAGAGAAAGAGCATCCAAGTGGACCAACATGGCCGCAAAACAAGTAGCATAACAGCAGCAAAGCCTTCAACATAGCCCTGATCTAGACCCCACAGCCCTACTCACTTCCAACATACCTCCACGAGAAGCCTCAAGAGGCCAACATGGAAAATAATATGTCCCGTTTGACTTTGCGTAGTGCGTGTGAAACACAAAAAAACATGAAAAATGAGGTCCGACAAGTGTAAGAAAGGTGGTTTGATAGTATTCTTTGTCGTTTTTGTTGCTTTGCTTATGAAAGCTAGCTCCAGTGGGTGCTGAAATTCGGGGCACGTTTGTGCAAATCTTCGGCGATTTTGGTGCATTCTTGGCAGAGAAAAAACAGCCAAGTGGACCAGCATGGCCGAGAACAAGTGACATAACAGCAGCAAAGCCTTCAACATAGCCCTGATCTAGACCCCACAGCCCCAATCACTTCCAACATACCTCCACGAGAAGCCTCAAGAGAGCCCCAACGTTGGGCCAAGATCGCCGAAGATTGGCACAAACATGCCCTAAATGTGACCGCCAACTGGAGCAAGCTTTCATAAGCAATAAAGCTCTCAAAAACGCATGCCTTGCACTTGTCCAAACCTTTGCGATGCTGGTTATGTCCCCAGGGGAAGACTGCAGTATTGACATCATGGGTGTGCTCGTCAGGAGCTAGCTTTCATACGCAAACAAAGGATAAAAGAAGCTCTCAAAACACCTTCCTTACACTTGTCGGACCTCATTTTTTCACTGTGTTTTACAGTGTTTTATGCACATTGCACTTCAAAGCCTTCGACTGCGGGATAACAAGACAAACCTCAAAAGTTGCCTCCCGTGCAGGTAAAGTGCAACTTTTTGAAGGCAAATAAGCTCAACACAAACCCATCCAAAGCCACTTTTTACTGTAAATTACAGTGTTTTGTGCACCTTCGAACACGCAAAAAAATAACACCCACGGTCTGCAAACCAGTCCGGCAAGCAACGGAAAGCGAGAAGCGAGCGGGCGCGCTTCTTCTAAATGGCTAAGTTCACTAATGGCTTGCTTTGTTTCCCCCTCTTCTGTGCTCTTTGTGCGTCAGGCGCTTTCCATCCTTTTTGGGTTACTCTTGGTTCTTTGTCTTTGCGAGCCTTGTTGGTAAAAAACTGGCTTTAAGCCGCAATGTGATTTTAGACTGTTGGTTCTTTGTCTTTGTGAGCCTTGTTGCGACAAAAACTGGCTGCTCTAGGCCCCAATGTAATTTTTGTGTTGTTGGCTTCATGTTTTTGGTTTTCCTGGTTGGTTTTCCTATGTGCTTTCCATGTCTCTTAAGTTGGCTTGCCTTGTTTTCGCCTCTTCTCAAGTAGGTTAGCTTTGGTCCAGTGCGTTGTCTGCCCAAAAGCGTAGTTTCATACTTTTGGGGTTGCCGTGTCAATTTTCCCAGGTGCTTTCCATTCTTTTCAAAAGGGTTTGCCTTGGTTGTGTCCATTCTGTGCTCTTTGTGTCTTCTTGTGGACCTTGGCGTCAATAACTTCTCATCATCTTAAGCTGATTTGCTTTGTTTCCGTCTCTTCTGTGCTCTTTGCGCCTTAGGAGCTTTCGATCCTTTGTGAATGGGTTACCCTTGGTTCTTTGTCTTTGTGAGCCTTGTTGGAAAAAAACTGGCTTTAAGCCTCAATGTGATTTTAGACTGTTGGTTCTTTGTCTTTGTGAGCCTTGTTGCGACAAAAACTGGCTGCTCTAGGCCCCAATGTGATTTTCGTGTTGTTGGCTTCGTATTTTTGGTTTTCCTGGTTGGTTTTCCTATGTGCTTTCCATGTCTCTTAAGTTGGCTTGCCTTGTTTTCGCCTCTTCTCAAGTAGATTAGCCTTGATCCAGTGCGTTGTCTGCCCAAAAGCGTGGTTTCATACTTTTGGGGTTGCCGTGTTAATTTTCCTTGGTGCTTTCCATTCTTTTCAAAAGGGTTTGCCTTCCTTGTGTCCATTCTGTGCCCTTTGTGTCTTCTTGTGGGCCTTGGTGTCAAAAAATTCTCATCTTAAGTTGATTTGACTTGTTTCCGTCTCTTCTGTGCTCTTTGTGCCTCCCATTCACCTCTTAGTGAAGCGCGCTTTCATACTTTTGGGGTTGCCGTGTCAATTTTGCCAGGTGCTTTCCATTCTGTTCAAACGGGTTTGCCTTGCTTGTGTCCATTCTGTGCTCTTTGTGTCTTCTTGTGGGTCTTGGTGTCAAAAAAAATCATCTTAAGTTGATTTGCTTTGTTTCCGTCGCCTTGGTTGTGTCCATTCTGTGCTCTTTGTGTCTTCTTGTGGGCCTTGGTGTCAAAAAGTTCTTAAGCTGATTTGCTTTGTGCTTTGTGTCCGTCTCTTCTGTGCTCTTTGTGCCTTAGGTGCTTTCCATCTTTTTTAAATGGGTTACCCTTGGTTCTTTGTCTTTATGAGCCTTGTTGCTACAAAACTTGCTCTAGGCCTCAATGTGATTTTCGTGTTGTTGGCTTCGTATTTTTGGGTTTCCTGGTTGGTTCCTATGTGCTTTCCATGTCTTTTAAGTTGGCTTCCCTTGTTTTCGCCTCTTCTCAAGTAGGTTAGCCTTGATCCAGTGCGTTGTCTGCCCAAAAGCGTGGTTTCATACTTTTGGGGTTGCCGTGCCAATTTTCCCGGGTGCTTTCCACTCTTTTCAAAAGAATTTGCCTTGCTTGTGTCCATTCTGTGCTCTTTGTGTCTTCTTGTGGGCCTTGGTGTCAAAAAGTTCTCATCTTAAGTTGATTTGCTTTGTTTGAGTCTCTTCTGTGCTCTTTGTGCCTTAGGTGCTTTCGATCCTTTTTAAAAGGATTACCCTTTTGGTTCTTTGTCTTTGTGAGCCTTGTTGCTGAAAAACTGGCTCTAGGTCCCAATGTGATTTTCGTGTTGTTGGCTTCGTATTTTCGGTTTCCTGGTTGGTTTTCCCATGTGCTTTCCATGCCTTTTAAGTTGGCTTGCCTTGTTTTCACCTCTTCCCTGATCCAGTGCGTTGTCTGCCCAAAAGCGTGGTTTCATACTTTTGGGGTTGCCGTGTCAATTTTCCCAGGTGCTTTCCATTCTTTTCAACAGGGTTTGCCTTGCTTGTGTCCATTCTGTGCTCTTTGTGTCTTCTTGTGGGCCTTGGTGTCAAAAAATTATCATCTTAAGTTGATTTGCTTTGTTTCCGTCGCCTTGGTTGTGTCCATTCTGTGCTCTTTGTGTCTTCTTGTGGGCCTTGGTGTCAAAAAACTCTCATCTTAAGTTGATTTGCTTTGTTTCTGTCTCGTCTGTGCTCTTTCTGTCTTCTTGTGGGCCTTGGTGTCAAAAAATTTCATCTTAAGTGAGCTGATTTGCTTTGTTTCCGTCTCTTCTGTGCTCTTTCTGTCTTCTTGTGGGCCTTGGTGTCAAAAAAATCTCATCTTAAGTTGATTTGCTTTGTTTCCGTCTCTTCTGTGCTCTTTGTGCCTCCCATACACCTCGTAGTGATGCAAGTGGTGCTGTGGAATGCCCCCGACTTTTTTAGCATTGTCTTTGTAATTTTTGTATCCGATGCCCTTGTGGAAAGCCGGGGCCAGTTTGTCAAAAAAGATTGCATTAATTATGCCAAAAAGTTTTATTTTTGTTGCTGTGTTTTACAGTGTTTCGTTAACTTCAACATACTGCCTCAAGACACCCAAAAGTCTGCAAATCAAAATCTCGAAACTGTCACCCCCCCCCCACCCCCCCCCCCCCCAACCACCCCCGGCGAAAAACCCAAAGCGAATTCCCCCCCTTCCCCCCCTCCTCTGGCCCCCCCCCCCCCCCCCCCCCCTCCCTTTCGGTAATACTTCCAAGCGCTACAGCGCTTTCCGTCATCTTGAAAAACATCTGCCAACTGCCCCTGGAGGAGATTACTCAGCATCGTTGCATCTCAGTACAGCTCGTGCGGAACTGCAGCCCAGGAGCCATTCTGCTTTGTGCGGTAGTTCATGGGGCTAAAGGCTGGAATGCACACCTGGCTGGCACTGTTAACTCCGCCAACTCGCTGCTTTTGCTGGTCCTTTCAATTTTCATTGCTGAAAGGAGTCTTCCATTGGCTTTTGGGTTGGACAACTTCCACTTGCAATTGATTAGACAACCAACGATCATGTTTCGGCTGACTTCCACAAGCGGCACCTGCTGCTGCCTGACCGTCACAATCTCCACAGGCAAATATCCCAAGAAGTACTCCACTTCCTGGCACATTCTTTTTTTTGCGCCAGCAGACGTGACGCCGGCGCATGGCCCTAGCCATGGTGTACGACTGTATGAAATTGCGATGTGTATATGTATATACATGTATATACATATATACTTCTCAGCAAGTCGCACAAGTGCCACGAGTCAAAGGCTCAAACTCAAACTATTGTCTTATTGACAATCTCCAAAGGCAAACAAAGTTCAATTGCAAATCTCCTATCTAGATATAAGTAGCATCTATGAGATTCCACAAGACACCATCAAACGTCACCTTCCTTATGCACATTTGTTTGTAACTAAGCGCACTACTCTCCAACACAATGACACCCCAACAACATGACAACGAGAAACCCTAACCAAAGATACAACAAGCCCAACGCACACGAAAGAGAAAGCATGATGAACACAGGGCGCAACAAATTCGATAAGAATGAGGGCAATGCAACATAAGCACACAACTTGCACGGTGCACTAGCAGCACGAGAAAAACTGCAGTCTGTGAATTTTTCGCACGATTCTTCAATCTTTTTGCACGTTTCTGTAGCTTGTACTCACTTGAAAACGTGCAAATTCAACTCCGCGGAGCCTTGTGCACAATTGGGACTGTCGTGAGGAAGACATAAGAATTGGGATCCAACTTGAGCCTCACTGACCGGTCATTGTCAGCTGTTGTCGCTGAGCGGAACCGAGCGGAACTGGAACAACTTCAAGTTGAGTCGAACAACAAAAGCCACGACAAGCCTGCTGACTTCAGAAGGAACCAATTGAACCATGTTATGTATATATAACCATGTTGCACCCAGATTCGCTGCAGCTTGGGACCCTTGAGGGTATCGCAGCGCAAACATCAATATGTGCGGTTATGCCAGGACTCAAAATTTATTGACTCAGCTTTGAACATGGCAGTGTAACGAGAAAGAATGTGCCAACAACACTGTTGAAGATTCTTGCGGGCTCCACGACTCAAAACTTCACCATGCTTTTAGCCAAGTGGCGACTCTTGTCCTCCAGCAGTGCCTTGTACTTCGAAGGCCAAGTTTGGCATCTCAGTATCAAGATCTGTGCCGTTGCCTGCGGCAAATAGATCAAGAAGAAATTAGGCTATTACGAAGTCAGTATTTATCCCCGAAGCATACTCGAATATAATATAAGCTATGCTTGCATCATTCCAATCACCAGTTACCTCTGCCTGGTTGTGTATATATACAGCCTAACAAATCCACGGTTGAGTGGCAAAGCCAACAACAGCAGGTTCCACAATCTCTTGCCATCATCCTTCAATCAAACAATCAAAGCATCGCTGAAGAACACTCGCAACTTGCAACTATGCTGAGACTCTGCAAAGCGTCTTCGTTGTGAGACAAGACTTTGTTGTAAAGTGTGTGTTGATTCAACTACTGTCTGATTTGGACCGTTTATTAAAAACACCGTGTCCCGCCTAACCAAGTGTAGCAATGCCTGCAAAGGGAACAGCAAGCATACATCATCTGTGTTTGAGAGTGAATCAGGGTGAGATGCACGTATCTGAAGACTCTACATGGTCATCACTTTGAGCCAGCTCGGCAAATGTCTGAGTATCTAGGTGACACCAAATATAGGCCAGCCCCATCAAGAGCAAGCAAAGAAACCAGAGCTTTTGTACCCAAGTGTCTTCATCAGGAGAACAAACGTAGAGGCCATGGAAATAGCCTGGAGCACGGGGCCAATTGAGTACGAAATGAAGGCCATTCTTGTAGTCAAGAGTTATCAAGAGTTTATATACATTACTTATACATTGCAGCTGACTATCTTGATCATCGCTTCTGGTCATGTACCGTTTTCTTTGTGGACCCCCGGACCGCTCCTATGTCAAAATGTGTCGTAGTTACAGCAAATAAACAAAAAATGTGTTGGATGCTACACTGAATCGAAATTAAAGCTTCTGGTGCCTTCTAGCTAACCAATGCGTATAACAAGCAAAAATGCAAAAACTGAGGAAGCAAAGAAGGTATGGTTCCCAACTATTGTTGCAATCAATGAGATCAACGGGTGCTGCATGGTTATGCCACTCCCACGGGCCTCTGGCATTTCAGGCTCTTCTTCAGGCCCATATTCTGGCCCGGTGACAGGGTTCTCTGCTTCATCTGGTACTGCATCCGAGGGGATGATCTGATCATCCGGAACTCCACCAGCATCAGGGATCGTGACCACCACGTCAGGTTCTGAGACACGAGGGTTTGAACTTTCTGCAGGCCGCTTTCTGGCAACATTTTGAACAACCATTGCTGAACTTCAAGCATACTTGGAAATGGGGAACAAACGGAGGCGGATTGTACGATGCCAAATGTTCATGAGCCAACCGCTCTTAGATCAAATGGCCCAGAAACGACAACCTATGACTTGCCATCAAAGATCCCTGCCTTCATCTTCAGGGCCTTCGTCTTCAGGACCTTCTGGGCCTTCTGGACCTTCCGCGCCCTCGGGGCCTCCTGGGCCTTCCGGGCCCTCCGGGCCTTCGGGGCCTTCCGGGCCCTCGGCGCCTTCTGGCCCTACCGGGCCTTCAAGACCTACTGGGCCTTCAGGACCTTCTGGGCCTTCAGGACCTTCCATCCAGGTGCCATCAAGTCCATCCGGTCCATAGTCACCGCCTGGACCTTCAAAATCTGGTTCCATGTAGGCTCCGTCAGGCCCTTCTCTCATATACTCCGGCCCGTCTGGAGGACTCTCGAGATAGGGTTCTTCCTCCGCATAATCTGGTTCCATGTAGGATCCATCTGGCCCAGCAGACATATAGTCTGGCCCTGGGCCAGAATAGTATGATCCCTCCAGTGGCTCTCCATAGTCGTCATCATAGTCCTCCACATCATCATAGTCATAATAATCGTCCACGTCGCCAGGAATAGGCTGAGTAGATCCAGCCTCCACGGCAAACAAAACTATCCCGGCAATAGACGCCAAACAGTGTGTGTGAGGTCTAGAGGTGTAGCAGCAGAAAGTCTAGAGATCTAGACGCATTGGGGTGCAGAGGTGATGGTGGTGATGAAGGTGGAGATCGTGGTGATGAAGGTGGAGATCGTGATGATGGTGGCGGTGGTGGTGAGTGAGTGTGAGTGTGAGTATGAGTATGAGGTGTGACGTGTGACGTGTGACGTGAGAGTGAGAGTGAGAGTGAGAGTGAGAGTGAGAGCGAGAGTGAGAGCGAGAGTGAGAGTGACAGTGACAGTGAGAGTGAGAGTGAGAGTTGAGAGAGTGAGTGAGAGTTGAGAGAGTGAGTGAGAGTTGAGAGAGAGAGAGAGAGTGAGTGAGTGAGTGAGTGAGTGAGTGAGTGAGTGAGTGAGTGAGTGAGAGAGTGAGTGTGAGTGTGAGTGTGAGTGTCTGTGAGTGTGAGTGAGTGTGAGTGTGAGTGAGAGAGAGTGAGAGTGAAAGTGAGCGAGAGAGTGGGAGTGAGAGAGAGTGAGAAGTGGTGAGTGGGTGTGAGCACTTCGAGGTTCACAAAGTGCTTTGCCTGCCGCGAAATCTGCACTTCAAGATTCGCAAAAGGGCTGTGCCTCCCACGAAATCTGCACTTCGAGGTTCACAAAGCGCTGTGCCTGCCACGAAATCTGCACTTCGAGGTTCACAAAGCGCTGTGCCTGCCACGAAATCTGCCCTTCGAGGTTCACAGAGTATATACTGTGCCTGCCACGAAACCTGCACTTCGAGGTTCACAAAGTCCTGCCCCTGCCACAACATCTGCATAGAGGCTCACAAAGTCCTCTGCCTGCCACGAAATCTGCCCTGCGAGGTCACAAGCGCTACGCCTGCCACGAAATCTGCACTTGGAGGCTCACCAAGTGCTGCGCCCGCCACGACATCTGCACTTCGAGGTTCACAAAGTGCTCTGCCTGCCACGAAATCTGCACTTGGGGGTTCACAAGGCGGCGGTATAGTGACGAGGTTGAGTACTTGGTCTTCGGACCAGACATACCCGGGCTCCAGGCCCAACCCCACACACGCACATCGGGGCTCACAAAGTGTTGCGCCTGCCACGAAAACTGCACTTCGAGGCTTCGAGGTTCACAAAGCGGCGCGCCTGCCACAAAATCTGCACGTCGAGGTTCACAAAGCGCTGCCCGTGACGAACTGCACTTCGAGGTTCACAAAGCGCTGCACCTGCCACGAAATTTGCACTTCAAGGTCCACAAAGTACTGCACCTGCCACGAAATCTGCAAACTACCCACATGTCCAAAAGTCACGATTCACTGCACCTGTCACGAAATCAGAGCGCCTCGAAGATCACCACCGTGTCCAAAGTGCCGCGCCTGACGAAAAGTCGACTTTGGACCAAAAACACGAGGTTTCCCTTGCGCCTGCCACGAAAAGTGACCATCATGTCCGAAAATGCGCACGGCACCACAACGAGAGCGCGCCAGCCCACCAGATTCTGCGAATCTGCGCGGTCGAAATGCACTTCGAGGATTTCGAGGGGCATGAATGTACTGTTAATAGCAGCGAATTAGCCGGACACGCCCACGCAACACCTCGAATCTAACACCGCTGCTTAACCATTACCGTATGAACCCCTAGTGTGTCCACACTGTTTGGGGAAAAAATCAAGGGAATGGGCAGAGACGGAATGTTTGCATGTGTCTGGAACGCCTGACAATTTGTTTACCTCGGACTGTAGCTATAATTTATAAAACAGGCATCATTTATCATCCTTTCCTAGCATGTCATATCAGGTCTCACGTTTGCTTAGAGGCAATCGCACGCTTGGAACATTCACACCGTAACATGCGATCAAGCTCTTAGAACCTTGAGGCCAACACTCACCGAAAAGGTAACATTCAAGGCATGCAACACATAGAAGCCTGGAATCCAGAACATCCCGGCCCATGTGTAAGGTCTTGCTCTGTAGTTTTTTCGGAAAGCAGGTTTCCCTCATGTTCTCTTCATTTTACCTCAAACCCTTGGTTGCCTGTTTGCCAAGAAGCTACTAGGTCCTACGTAGAGGCCATCGCTATTAGGTTGGAGGCCACTACTACTAGTAACAAGAAGCTACTAGTAGCTTTTTGCCAAAGTAGAAATCAATTTATTGTCTGTTCAAAGAGGCGAAGTGGTCGCCCATGGCAACCCGCCTGCCTAGATGTCAATGTCTGGTTGGATGAGGATGTTGTGTGAGGATGCGAGGAGGTTAGTAGCTTCTTGTTCCTAGTAGCGATGCCAGGAGCCCCTAGTAGCGTCCTTGCAGTAAGGCCAGGAGCCCCTCGTAGCTTCTTGTTACTAGTATTGCTTTCTCACGCTCAGCAGTCTGAAACTATTCATCCCTCTCCCACAGGGACCTGCAGCATGGAGCGCATGTGACCAACGATGAGCGCGCGCGGTGCTTTCGTCGCCCTGCAACGGCTAGCATGCATAAGAATGCACTTGCGAAGTCATGAAACAAATCGATTCGCATGAGATCTATGATGATCTATGTAATTCATTGTAGCTGCTGTGCCAATGAGATTAAAGCGGCATTTGTGCTCACCAGAAAGAAGGGTGCAGCGTAGCTAGATTGGTGCATACTTTGTTGTGCAAACAATAATATACATCTTTCAAATGACCCTCAGATTTGCAAACCTAACAACCCAAGAACCCCCCCAACTTCCTTGAACCGATCTCTTCGGGCCAGAAGAGTCTCCCGCTCCTTCCGGTCTCCAGCTGAGTCTGCAGGGCCTGTGACCAGGGCGGAACGGCCTTCCTTATCTTCAGGCTTGTTACTGTTACTAGTAGCTTCTTGCTAATAGTAATGCCCTTGTTACTAGTTGTTTCGATGTTGCTACTGTGATCTGAAAAAATAAGATTGCACGATGTATAGATGGCACTTACACATCAAGACGTTCTTTGTACTAAAGCTTCACAAAGTTGATGAACACCCCGTTGTCCAAGCAAGTTGCACCGCCCTAACAAGATGCAAGCAACTTTGAGTGGAGCTGCATTCATGGTGGTGACTGTTCCAGCTCTCTTCCCTCGTCAATCACCCCATGTGACTATGACGATGGTTTGGCGTGCATGGCTGATTCCACTGTTGATTTGCCCTTGCACATTCTGATCTTGCCAAGTATATTCAGCTCTCTTTTGGCTTGTGGCTTTGCGTAGTAGATCTACTGGTTACCTGCCTTATGCATTTCCTTGCATCGCGGCCACTTTTGGCAAATACCTTCGTAAAGCTTCTCGATATCATGTTTCGGACCTTGGCGCCCACACATTTGCTTATAATGAGACTTGTCTGGTCTGAAGTTTAGACGTCTGAGATTGAAACGACCAACAATCCGCCGACCCCACTCGTGGGGTCAGGCGTGACTGTTGATTAAGGCTAAGGCTATGATTAAGGCATACCTCCCCTACCCCTCCGGAGCTTTGTTGGAGTGACGAAAAGTAGCCTAAAATTGTCCAAGATTTGTCCAAGATTTCTCCATCCCAATTGATTTACATCTTGGGGCACCCTCTCCACCCGCGGGGGAAACTAAGCACGGTCCCTAAATGGTCCCGGGCTCGAATCCCGGCCTGGTTGCGGCCTGGTCCCTGCCAGTGCCCTTGGTTTTTCCTAGATTGTGTAACGTTTTCCGCTGGATTGCTAGGATTTTCAAAGGTTTTGGTAAGATTTACTCATGCCTTTTTTGATGGTTTTTCCGGGATTTTCTATGGTTTTTCTAGGAATTTCTGTGGTTTCCTGAGATGTTCCACTCTTTTTTCTAAGGTGTTTTCGAGCGTTTTTTCTAGGAGTTTCTCCTCTATGCGCTCCGCACGTGCAAGCTTTTTCTGCTCTTTTCTAGTGCTGTGCTCGCATTCTGCCAGTATGCCGGTGGATGTTCAACAAAAATGCTAACCCATTTGCCATGCTCGATTTTTCGAAAAAAAACTCTTAACCCATTAAACTTAGGCCATCCACTTCCCTGGGGGTCGGCGGCTGCCAGGCGCTAGCCTGGTTAAATAAAGGCCCGTTGATTGAGGCTCTAAGTACACTAGTCTAGTTATAGACTGTAAATACATTGGCTCTGCAGACACCAGCCCTGTACAAAGCCAGGAGGAACCACCGGATCAAGAAGTCAATGCGCCGTGGATCGAGGGTGATTCACTCCGTGTCTGGGTGTCCCGTGCCAGTGATCAAAGTAGTGCCTGAGAGGAGAGAAGTGGTGGGGTCATTGCACCAATTTGATGACCAGCACTGTGGTTCAGCAGTACTATCCGCTTCGGCGGCAATTTCGATCAGTTGTGTCCTCCATCTGGAAATCTGGAGAGATAGATCCAAGGTTGAGCAATCCAAAATGTGGATTTCAAGGGTTTGGGGGAAGATCTAGACATGGAACATTGGATCTTGAAGGCGTGTTGATCTGGGACGCCCAAAGGACGCCCATGTCTCTTTCCACTACATCAAAGGTCCTTCGAACCCTGCTCAATCAGCTCACTCCTGTGCGTGCGCGTACTGCAATTCGCATCACACAGACCCTGTGGTGCAGGAACTGAACCCATCGCCGGACGCTCCGAACGACATGCCCAGCGCCCAGCACGACGACATGGCTAGTCGACAGCACACTCGTTGATGCGGCACCGACAGCGCACAGGCGACTGATTGCAGCATCAACTGGTGTTCAACGTCAGCTTCTGTTCTTTGAGAAAATGGATGAAAAAGGACAAGCACATGTGTCACACTTGCCAGATCCGTCGAACCGTGCATGTAACTGACAAAATTGCTGTATGCCCTCGGTCAAGTACCAGGACGGAATCATTTCGGACCCCAAGGACAGAATCGCCTGAATCGGGAATCAACCCACAAGCGCTGTCCATGCCCGGTTTCTTCTCCTGGAAGACACAAAGGCCATGCACACGTCGTAGCTTTGGTTGGGATTGGTCATACTATAGGCAAAATGAAAATTGAAAACTCCAGATATGGAAAGTGATGAAATATATGAAAGTGTGCTTCAAACATGTCGATAGCAAAGGGTAGTTAGTTGAGTGGCTGAAGGGAGCTGAAAGGTGGCATTCGAAGAATGGGTCGACTCGCTCTCTTCGATCAGTGTGATTGACATCAAAGAGCGCAGGCGCTGCTTTGAATATGAGTGGAAAAGCCATGGGTTAAGTGGCGAGCTCGGTGGCTGGAGTTGGTGTTGAGAAGGATGATATGGCGAGTGGCAGTGTGGTTTGTAGGATCGAGTTTGCCAACGGGGTTGAACAAGTGAGGTGGACATAGGTGGACCAGGTACCTGGATGGACCGTTGTTTCCGTCATCTATTCAAACATGGTGAAGGACATAGAAGGACATCCATCGCTATTAGGTTGGAGGCCATTGCTATTAGGGTGGAGGCCATCGCTTCTAGGGAGGAGGCCATTGCTATTAGGTTCCTTTTGCTATTAGAAGGACTACTTAGACCATCACCCTGTCTGCGGTCAGGCGCCGCATCCATTCGTCCAGTTCTCGGCTCGGCAACATCCAGTGCTCTGCTCCTGGCAAAAGTCCAGTGGCTCGGTGCTGTCGCCGACCTTGGTTACGACCAAAATCAAAAAATGCTCATTTCGGACTTGCACACTTGTGAACGCTGACTGGATCATATTAGAAAAAGAAACACTGACTGGACATCCCCTTCCCCTTCCAAAAGTGCACCTGCCACATACCAAAAGTCCCTTGTTCGGGTCCCGCAAGCCAAGAGAGAATCACTTTATGTGGATGACATTCATAGTTCAGACATGCCAAATAACAGTGGCATCCACCCCAAAATGCCTCAACAGAGCATGCTCTCCGATTTGTACTGTTAGATAGATCTTGTTAACACGTTGTCCATCAAAACATGTGTGTTTCCTCTAGTCTGTTTGATTTGTCTCTTGTCTTGCTTGGTTCTAAAGTGGCACCGTGTCAAAATCATGCGTTGAATATGTGCAAACAGCAGGTTTAAATGGACCAAGTGGATACCCTGGTTTGGAGGGTACTTGAAATCTTTGATTTGATGTAGAACAAATCACGAAGTACGATTCTATAAAGTATCTAATTACAGGATGTTCTGGTTCGCGGTGGCCCAACTTATGTTCCGGAAAACAAAGCGTCCCAATTCAGGGGCGTTGAGAATAGAAGGCGGGCAAAAGGGGGAGGCTGTTCCTGGAGGCCCAGAAACCGCTACAAATTTGCTTCTTGCTGCACATTCTTCTAGCCAGATAAATGGGTCCGTCTGTCTTGGGCTTCGCAAGGCTCTGGAGTTGCAAGACAGTGACCAAGAGGTATTTGAAAACAGCATAACTCACTGCTGAAGTGATGCAGAAAACAATGCTCGGCCATACCATGGAGCTGCCAAATGCTCTAAAAGGTTGGATGTACAGTACTGAAGAAGTCACCAAATGGCCCATCCTAAACCATGATAACCATGGCCCTGAGAAATGCCGGTTTTTACATTCCACAGACACGACCCGCTGAAACCATGTGTGTGTGTGTGTTCGTCTATCTGAGGTCTCGGCCGTGATACCCCGAAAGTCCAGGCCCCAATGCAGTTTGCCCACTGACTGCAAGGACTCCTACCAGGCAATCCTACTGTGCAACTCATGGTTGAAAGAATTCGGATCTGTTCCAATCAGCCAATCACAGATCGAATTCCACTACCTCAAAAAGTTAAAAAGGCTTGGGGTGCTAGCCAAAAGCTCCTCACGCACGGCCCTTAATCTGCTCGTCTGAGTCCCTCTACTGAAGCAGCTGAGGCTGGACGCCACTGGGACAATCGGAACAAAGGGTTCTTTTGCCAGTCGCCTCTTGGCTCGAAACCGGCGGATGTATATGATGAATGTATGAATGTTAGACGTTATGATTCCAGAAAATATGTCAGACGCTAGATGATTAGATATGGTTATATATAAATATGCTAAAATGGAGAAGTGTTGGACCCTCCAATTGTAGCTACAAGGGACCCTCAGGTCCGGCAACTGCGACAACAGCTTTTTAAACACGCTTCGTATCTGGCACTGGACACAGAAAAACGATCGGTGAAAACCAACAACTGACCTTGATTTGCAAAGAATAGATGTCATTAGAATAGTTCTGCAAAAAGCAAGCAGTCCCGGACATGTCCTTATGGAAAGCTGGTTTCAGTGTGGGTGCTAGCATTCATACACAGTATTGCAGTATTGATGTAAGCCGGCGCCAGCTTGCTCATAAATTATTGAATACAGTATCAGTATGAACCGATGACAATCTGCAGGAATCATGGGAAACTCCTTCCTCCGGCTGAGAATGCAAAACCCCAACTCCCAAACTTCCTTGATAGGTGCTTCGTTGAGGCCCAAGACACCTTCACGGCTGCAATCTGTGACGCTTAAATCCTCAATCAAAACAACTCCCACTCAGGGTTTGTTGCACACTCCGCATTGTATCCTATAATTGCAGTATATACCCCTGTTCACATCCCGCTGAATTTGTCTTTTCATCTCCCGGCCACGCATCAGCTGTTTTGCGTAGATTTGGTGGATGTGCGAATCGCAACACGCTCTCAGAACGGGGAGCAACTACTAACTACCTGGGCAAATGCCTCTTAATGCAATATTGATGACCGCAAAAGTTGAAACCAACAATGAGATTCCTTTAGCACACCGTGCTGGCTTCACGCAAGCTGGTCATAAGTTGACATCTGCAAAGGAAATCAACGCAATGCACCTGGACCCTGCTCGTTGAAACACATCGAGAAGCGTTCAATACCTGGCATTAGCCGCGAGGCCGCAAGGCCAACCCCCTGCTGATTTGTAAAGCGGGATGCCTGCATGTGAATGAAAGTATATAAATAGACTTAGAATAACTTAAATGCATATGATATCACCGCCTTTCTGGGAAGAGGGTGCCCACTGAGTGAAGTCGGAGTCTGGAAATCACGTTGTCAGAGATTGTGTCTCAGGTCGTATGACCAAATGTTGTGTCATAAACGCTGGCCGCTAGCCGGTGCCATGTGAACAGGGTTGGGCAAACAAGCAACCTCTGCTGCATTGACTGTTGAAAACTTAGTCCAACTTCCAAACATAAAATGAAATAGACTCGGTCCACAAGATGTGCGACTTTCGTGAAACGACCATCCAATTCGAGCCTGCCAACTTCATGAATCCTGGGACCAACTTGCTGGCATTCGGACCACGATGTGGCCTGGTCATCAGGAAGAAGACTTGGAGACTCAGAAGTGAGCTTGCAAAGGAGGGGATTCACAGTGAAATCTAGCACTGCTGGTAGCTTGCTGATGAGAACTTGTTAGCTTAAGAATGCAATGAGTCAATGAGGCGCTTCACCTGACCTTGACAAACCTTGGACACTTTGGACCTTAAATGCGCCCTGAGCCCACTTCCTCAGAGTCCATACCCGGCAAAGGATTGAATTTGCCACAAACCTAAGAGCCTACTAGAGCCATCTAGAGCCTACGAAAGCCTGCGGAAGCCTTCAAACCACTCATCCCAACGCCTTCCAAGGCCAAGGATGCCCTCGAATTGACCACGGATTGCCAATTTCTGCAGAGCTGAGGAAGATTTGATGCAGAGCTGGGTGTCTGATTCAACAACCTTCTTGATTCAAGCATTTCAAGAATGTTGGCAACAAATGTGCGAAAACCCAGAAACGGACTTGGTGAACCAGTCTATCAGTCCAGCTTCTCTTTTTTCAGCCACATCCTAATTACCACCGCTCCATGGGAATGCTTTCATTCCAAAGAGCATGTCAGCTCTCAGCTGCTTAGATGGTTTCAATTGAAGGCAGGTGCTAGAAGCAAAGACCATATAAAAATAGTATATCTCATTTAGGATCAACAGAGTGGCCGAATATCATGCAGATCCAAATCTGGCTGTGCATCTGCACAAGATTTGATAAACTGAAACTATGGCAACAGTGGACTGGCAACAGTGGACCGCAAAATAGAGATAGACTAATGGGACATCCCTCCCGAGTAAATGAAAGAGCAAGGTAAAAGGTAATTGTCTGGACAAATTCCACATTTTCGTGCCTGCTTCACCATCAAAAGAAGGCTCTCATTCCTGAGTGCGGTCACACGATGTGTCATCAGGTGCAGGAAGTCCAAAAGGATGGATGATGTTCAGGGCTTGAGACATCCTTAGACTTGTTCAGACTTTCTTTGCTCTCATTTGCCTCGAAACAGAGGGCATGTTGCCTGTTGGGGGCTAAAAAACTGCCAAAGACCTTCAAGAACCCAAATAAGTTTAGCTAGGACCGTTCTGTACCATTGTGAACTCGAAATTGAGTTCAAGCCTGGTGTCATCAAGACTAAGTCAATCCAACTTGACAACACATTCTGTGACAAACTGTGACATGCCAGGTTTGCTTCGCATCTTACAAGTCCAGCTAGTTGGTCCAAGTTTGATTGCAGGAGGACATCAAACATCGCTGTGGAGGTGACTAAATATCAGCCAAAAGCTGGAAAGGATTCGTGCGATGCAGTGGACCGCCGTTGCGTTGCGTGCCTTTCGATGAGAAATAAAATGTCTAGACTCTGATGTTAAGGTTGGAAACTAACTATATAAAATTATGTAAATATATACTGGGCACTATACTGGGCGCATACGACTTAGGATTTAGCATCTGAAGTGACACAGGCCTTTGATTTTGCCTATGTCATGGTGTCCAGTTTACTCCGGACATGCCCCAACTGGTCCAATGAGATAGGACTTGTGGAAGGTTGCGAAACGGTCTTCTGATCCTTTTGCCTCTTCAGTTGTTTATAGTGTTTTATAGTGTTTTGCATTATGACTTAGGACTTCAGATTTGCAGGTATTTATGCTCTATAACTACTTATAACTCCTTTATCCTTAGCGGGCAGTACACATACAGCTGACATTGTTCTAGAGAGATCTACAGGAAACTGCGTTATTTGGAGGAGGCACTGAGGTGCAGCTTGGCTTCATGAAGGCCTTAGCTGTACCGACCTCGACTTCATCGGAACTCTTCACCACCAAGATGTCGCCGCTGCCTCGCATAAAGACTTCATCAGAGTCCATTCTACAATTTGCCTGCCTTGCAGGAGTCTTCTCGTCTAAACTACCTATGACCGCATCCCAGTCTTTCTGAGCACGATGGGACCACTTCAAGCTGGAAAGTCGTCAGAGCGGCTGTCAGTATCTTAGTGTCTATGGCTCTTTACAAAATGGCATCTTCAGTTCTTGCTCAGACCCATCTGAAGTAATGGTCTCCCCTAGCATCCCCCGACTCAGAATTCTACAACGACTTGGAGTTCCCATGCCGCGCTGAACTCGACTGTTTCCCCTGGACCCTCAGTGGCCGGACCAAAAGACATGACGAAGCCGTTGAGGCCCTCTTGGCCCTCCTGAAACCAAGTGAGAGTGCAAAGGTGAAGAAGGCTCGGTACGCAGCACTGCAGGTATAATGATGGAAACCAATCACCTTCAATTCTACAATCTGGATGGTGTTGACGTCTAGAAATGGAATGGTCCTATGGTGTCAGAAATAGTTTGATTGTCAGGGCTCAATTGGCAAAAAAAGGTACAGGTACTGTTTCAAACATGCAAGTGTTTTTCTACGCCATCTGCATGTAGTAGCTGCAAGTTACTACTAAGCGACAATTCTTCTCTAATGCCCCCAATCTTCTCATGAAAGGTAACACTGAAGACAAGAAAGATTTGGAAAGCGCCAATGGTCCTTGCCATTGCCGGACTTGCCTAAGGGCCTGTCATACCTTTTTCCGGATCCATCTGCTGCAACGGTATCTCTGAGATCAGTGTATACTTATATATATATAGTATTGTAAAATTAGACCTACATAGGTGGATGGCGGTTTCATGTGACGACTGTTGGCATGTCTTTTTTTCAGCGCAAAACCGTCGCTGAAAACCGCCCTTCTCCGCTTGTCGTCAGAAAGTGCACGTGGGGTCGTGGAAAAAGTTCACATCTGTGCCCCACAGCGAATGTCTCCTCGTTTTCGTCCATCTCGATGTGGAAGGTGGATGAACGGCCGGTGCCTTGAAGGTGGGAACGCTGCAAATCGAATGTGAGAATAAGAAAAACATCCATGAAGAGAGACTTACGGTATATAGGCTATAGGTCTTCTGCATTTCAGCTTGAGCAAACCGAAAGGGCAGGGCTTGTCAATACATGACTTGCTGATGCATCCCTCGCTGCCCTCGCTACTGTGAGAAAGTGGACATCAGTATACAAATGTGAGTCAGGTTCTTCATTTGGCTGTAAAAAGGGCCGGAATTGCACCATAACAAGTAGTACATTTATGTAAAAGCTAATGTAAAATTTAAAGGAATGCTGGCTGACCTGCACTCATTTCGTGCGCTGGCAGCTAGGCTTCCTCAGCACCAGTCTTCCTCTTTACGAATCAGTTATTCCGGATCAATTTCCGCCTCGGAAGCAGTTTCCAAAGTCTTGAGGGCAGTAGTGTTGTTCTTTGCCTCAGCTCAAGTGGCTCGGCCGACGTTAGGTCCAATGAACCTGCTTAACGACGCTTTGTTTGCAATAGGTTGCAAAACACAGCTCCACCACGCTATGCTCGAGGCTCAAGAACCCTTAAGGCCCTGCAATTTGTTCTTCAAACTTGGATCATCTATCGCTTCTTGAAGAGTGCATCTCAGCTGCAAAGGCAGGATTGGACAATCACATTGTCGCTGCCTTGCAACGATCAAGGGGGTCAATGTCACAGTCAAACTTTCATGCTCAGGGTGATGACACTAATTAAGGGGGACAGTGCATTGCATTTTTGGTGTTACAAGTTCTTGGTACAGCGGGGTCATGCTGTAGTTTGCTCTGAAATATGAAGATGTGTTTCATGAAGTTCAAGGAGTGATATGCAAAGGTTCTGTCACAAGGGACTGAGCGCCTGTGTCTGCCACCAGCTTAAAGTATTGCGGTGGGGTACCAATCCCAACCTGGCTCGAAAGCGAAACAATGAGGGGAGAAAGTGAGAAAGAACTTCAGCCTCACAGTCCAGCAATAGAATCACAAAGCCTCTTTATGCATTATATACAAATATATAGTTATAGCTATAGTTATATGCATATTGTTCATGATTCAATTATTCACAGGTACCATACAATACTATTACCCTGTAGGTTTTCCAGGTTGGAAACCGCTTTGACTCAGGCAGCCTGACCTTCGCGGAGCTGAAGGAGCCGTGATTCTCCAGGGAGGTGCAGGTGGCCTGATGTGAAAATGTTTGGGCGAAAATCACAAGCACCCAAAAGCACCAAATGGCGCCAAAACCATGCAAAAAAGGCCAAATACGACAAATGCAGCATGGAGTTTCAAGTACTTGTCATTCGATCCAAAAAAGGGCAAGTTTTTCATGGGTTGTCCGGGATGTTGAGGGTGTTTTCAGCCATTTACACTGTATGATTGGAAGATCCAGCGCCACGTCAGGTGCACAGATGGGAGATTTTGGGCGCATCCTTGGGCTACTTCAGCCTTAGACCCCCAAGCAATGCCACCTGCCTTGGCTTCATGAGGAGCCTTAGATTGACCAAGTCACCAGCGACTGCTTCGGCCAAGTGGTCGCATAAATAACAAATTACTTTACTGTATATACTTCGAATGATCCCCACCTGGCATTCTTTCTGGCGTGCTATCTGACACTCTATGTGATATTCTATCTGGCACTCTATCTGATATATTCTCTCTGCCATTTTATCTGCCAATCTATCTGGCACGTTCTATCTGGCATTCTATCTGACTCATTCTTATCTAGTGGTTGAGGTCCGGTGGTGCCCACTGGACTCGGACGCTGCAGGATGAGGTCTGGCAATGCCTGCCCACTGCAGTCGGGAGCTGGCGGTTGAGGTCCGGCAATGCCCACTGCGATCGGGAGCTGGCAGCTGAGGTCCGGCAGTGCCCACTGCGCTCGGGAGCTGGCGGTTGAGGTCCGGTAGTGCCCACTGCGATCGGGAACTTGTGGTTGAGGTCCGGTAGTGCCCACTGCGATCGCGAGCTTGTGGTTGAGGTCCGGTAGTGAGGTAGTGCGTGCCCACTCGTGGTTGAGGTCCGGTAGTGCCCACTGCAATCAAGAGTTGGCGAGGAGATGGCGAGGAGGAGGAGGAGAAGAAGAAAAAAAAAAAGAAGACGGCGGAGGAGGAGTAGGAGTAGAGCTCAAATAGAATCTAACAACCCTCACCTGGCAGGTGGGGAAAAACACGGCCTGTGGCTCTCCCTTGGTTTTGCTGCAAAAACGAGGCGACATCAACAGCACACCTGAAATAGAAATAGACAGGTCTTAAACAGGTCATCTTGAAATTGCCTCGCGGTGCTCAGTTGCTGTACAGTAAGCTGTGACTCACTGTGACTCAATTGAGTCGATGGCTGCAGCAGCAGGCGTGTCTTTCGCCGGTATGGCTTCCTGTGGATTCAGCCAATCAGCCAGGTTTTGTAGAGAAAGCCTGTGTGCATTCTGCAGCCGACGTAACTAACCTATTGACTTTGCTGGCCAGCGTGTTCTGCCACAACGGCCCAACGAACACATTCGTCATTCTCTACACGCTTACACTGTACACCTGCCACAGGGGCCCCAATGTACTGGTGGCGGACTGGAATGTTTCTCAAGCAATGCGTGTTTCTCAAGCAGGTTTGGAATAGCCTAGCAGCTTCGGACCATGTGATGAAGCGAACAGTCCACGGTCTGGTATATAAAGTAGCAAGGACGCTACTAGTAGCTCCTGGCATCACTACTAGGAACAAGAAGCTGCTAGCAACAAGGGCGTTACTACTAGTAGCAAGGACCCTACTAGTAGCACAAGAAGTGGAGCTTTAGAGTCGGAGCGCACCGGTGTTTCTGCAGGGGCTCCCTCTGGATCTTCCTTGGAGTCAACGTCCTTCAGACGCAAGAACAGAACATGAAGAAACATCTTTATATAAGTGGTGTCAACATGCCTGTAATCTACCTATATAAGTTCTTTGCCTATTCGGTTCCTTGCCTGTAGAAAGAATCCTAACAACATTTAACAACTATCGGCTGATGTGACTCAGCTTGCAGGCAGCATCCCATCATCCGTAAGAGGAACATGTCTCGTCAAGAATCTAGGCCAACTCTCTTCTTTCCCTGCCTTGGCACTTCGAACACCTCGCAATTGCCTCAGGTCTACTTGGCACTCCTGCAGTGGCATAGACTGCTTGGCATCTCCGTGATGATCCAGCTTGCTGGCAGGTGTTTACTATCTCCCTGAATTGCATGAAGCTTATCTAGGCTATGGTTTCATCTCAGTGCTGTAAGACAACACATCCCAACATTCATCCAACGCTTGTTATGTAGGTATTCTTGCTTGAACAGTACACATATTACCATGCCCTGAACCTCTTGAGGTTGCTCCGATAAGCTGATAATACAACTGGAGGTCTTGTTGCGATCTTGACCATTCAAGATATAAAATGATTAATAGAGCTGCTGCACATATCAACCAGACAACACCCACAAAAATGTAGAGCAACTAGGTCCTCCTCAGCACAATCATCAGCTAGAAGAGCATCAATATCACCCCGGACTGTAGTCAAAGAGACCACCTTGGGGTCTTGAATAGCAAAGCCACATGTATGACACCGTGTCACAAGTCATGCATGTCGTGGTCCAAAGTATTTGTGAACACTTGGTCAAATCCACTCTCAGATTTCAAACGGACACCAACAACAAACACATTGATAAATTGACAAATTATGTTAAATGTATAACACCCAAGAGCCCAATCGTTTGCGAATCGACTTCTTTTCATCCAAGTGCCGCACCAAAAGTATTTTTAGCAAGTGAAGCACCATGTGAAAATGCTCCAGCTTCAAAACGCTTGAACTAAGGTATATGGAGTATGTCGTGAAAAAGAGGACCTCAATGGCAGCGGCGAGTCACCAAGTGGAGTCATTCAGGACTTGTCATAACAACCACTCGATTGTTTTCCATTGAATGCAACCAGGAATGGCACACAGATTCGCTCCACGAAAGAGCAGGGACTGCTCCGACATCATGCATTAACGACCCACTCGATGAGTGCTGGGACCCTGCATCAAGATACTTGATCTGGCGTGACATGATCTGGTAGTTAGATAGATAAAAAGGTCCTGTTCAAACAGTCAGACCACCCGGCACAGGCTGAGGTCTGTCTAGCATCCTTTTCTCGCAGCGCCAAGTACGCATGCACCTGAAGCAGGGATAGTATTCATTGTTACATCTCACATAGTCCACACCTGTCTACAGTATCACATTGACAAACAATCGTCTGAGTCTCGTGCAAACGATTTGCATCTTCAAGTCCAAAACTGTTTCAAGATTCTGAGCAAAAATTCATCTTGCTTAATAATTGGCTACCCTGGCTCTGGGCACCTTGAGCCTACTTTGGGCTTTGGAAACCTTGGCGCCAATGCAAATTCACAGCAAGCTGGGAAGGTTGGCAAATTCGATTGTTTGCTTTTGACACAAGCATGGCGTGGCATGGCGTGGCATAGCTGTTCCAAATGGTTCTATGGCAGCTCCCCACACCGGTCTACTTGCACGGTCGCTTCTAAGCGGCTGCATCCGGAAACGTTTCTGAGCTCCGAACAGCTCGGACCATTCGTCTCAAAGCCATTTCTGCTGGAAGTTCTTGGCAGTCCTGGTCACGTACACTGACACTGGTGTGAATCATTGCAAAGTGGAGTGGGAGTTGTGGACTAGTGGAAACGCAGCTGAATCAATTATACTTCTATAATGCCTGTTTTGGATGCCTGTCTCAAGTAACCTGTAACCTATTCGCCGCTTGTAGGATGACCTCTTTGCAATGTGCAAACAGGGGTGGATATCGTTTCTTGCTAACAGGTTACAAAGTGGAAGCTCCCGCTTCGTGGCTGCCATACTCCCCTAAATTGTGTCCACTTCGCAGCCTCAAGTCTTTACGGCCTCGAAATCCAAACAAATGGGGTTGTGCTTGGAACCTCTTCATATCCCACTAACTGGCGACGAATCCCGAGCACCTGAGCACCCGTTGTAAAATATAGCCCAGCTTTAAAAAAACACCATGTCGGAGACCCCTAAGTACGGTATATATTTCTTAGTTGCCGTTTTTTGCCGCTACTAAGCTACCAACATGGTCGGATTTGGATGATTTTTGAAAATATAGGTTCCAAAAACAATCCTAACTGTTCACCTCTGTCCACCCTGTCTGGCGTTTACATCAGCAGGTTTTCCATGATTCTTCCTTCCCCCAATGGCACGGACTCACAGAAACGCACTTTCCACCGAGGCCACACAAAACCGCATGGCACAGCGACGCCACCTTTCGAAAGCTTTAGTTGTTAGTATACTGAATTAAGAGTCACTAAGACCCTTCGATCTGGAGGTTTGTTCAATGTTTGATACGATGTTTAAAAGAAGTTTATACAACATTTTCCTGGGTGACTTTTCGGTGTTGAAGCTCTTCCCAGGTTTCCATCTTTGCGGCAGGAGCACCTATTTAAAGGGGGGGAGGGCGTGTGTCTTGATACAAGTACAAGTAGGTGGAAGGGATTAGTCTTTTAAGAGTGTTTTCTGCCGTTCATCAACTTCCAGCACATACACAAACTTGCACAATTCACTCGCTAAAAAATGCTCAGAATTGCATGTAAACGAACCATTTAGACTTCATGTCCATCGAACGCCGCCTCTGCTCTGCTAAAACACCTCAATGTTGCGTAAGAACACGAGCAAGAACGTAATGCCTGTCTGGGCATGAAAGAGAACTGTTTGCGCCTGCAAGAGCCTCAGATTCTCTTCAAGCTGGACATCCAGGTCTGCCTGCCACAGGAGGGACTCAGCAACTGTGAGGCGTTTGGCTGCTTAGAGCAGAGACGTTTAAAGAAAAGGGATTGCAAGGGATTACAAAAGCGGTGTTTTCTTGGAGGGCATCGACAAAACAAACAGCTTCACTGATGCATTCACTATACACCCAAACAGGCATGGTCTTCAGTCTTGCACGCAGCTTTGCTGATGCATGGTCTATACTCACACCCAAACGGTTTCCCCACCTGTTTCCGGTTCAAAGCGACTGCGGCCAAAGCTCGAGACCAGGCCTTGGAGCTTTGGATGCGAACACGGCAGCCGACCGGATGCACAAGGATGTGTTTGTGTGCGAGCGTCGCTTCGATCAAGCTTTCACTTTCTTTTCAAGGCCTGACAATTGTATCGATACTGAGCTCAAGCACATAGAAGGCGGCAGTCGCCAGTGGTATCTGCCCAATCGACATTCAAATGTTTGGTGCAAGGTGTGGAAACTGTTTGGCAAGATTCCGACTGTGCTACTGATGTCGCTGTATCTCTTTCGGAATCTTTCGGGATGGGGGCGCTCCACCCCCACCAGGTGTTCGCCTCCCAAGATAGGCGCCGCAAAGCTGCCTGGCCACCTGCCATTTTAGGGGGCCCCCCGAAGGGGGTGGATTCTACTAAGGTGCCGATGGCAGAACCTGGACGTGCCGACTGGCCATCTCCTGAAAGGTGCCATGTGTCCTACCTAAAGTATCATAAAGTGCTTGGGCCAGTTCCACAGTGTCCGGAGTTTGGATCCAAAGTGCATGAGTCAAGTCGTCACGGAGGACAGCTTCTAGCTTGCTCTGTACACCAATTGAGCTCAGTTTCATGTACGTGGAATTCACATGAAACACAATTGGGGGGGAATTCACCGGATGCTGTAACATAGACCTTACATCATCCGGTGACTCTGATTGCTTGGAAGATAAAGTCTTGACACTTTGCACGTTTCAACTTTCCTGCCTTGCACAGGAGTGCTTCCCACAGCACGAAACCAGCAATGAAGTAGTGACTTGGCGTAATGTCAGTTTTGCTTAAATCTGAACGGAAGACCAAGCTTCTTCTAGCTTGTAGTAATTCTGTCAGCCTATCTTGCACAAAGAGACTTGACTTTACAAAGTTGCAATATAACAAGTTAACTCAAGAATGGTTGTTGAATCTATTGGAGATCTTTCTTGGTTGAGTTGTGCTCTGGGAGAGTCTTCTACCACACCACAAACGCGCACCCGCAAAATGTGTGAGCACTGGACAGGGCCCCTGTGCCCTGTTAGTAAGGGTCCCGGTTGGTTGTTGATCTTGGAGTGTCTCATCAATCACAGCTCGCATCTTCCAAAGCAAAATCTAAGCGCAGAACGTGCGTCACATGTTGAACTACAATCACTCGTGACATGATTGTAATGTAGGTTTGCATTGTCTATCCATTTGGTGCGACCGCGTCATGCCCATCTTGAAGCTGGGGCATGCTGGCCTTCATGAAATCTCGTTGCCAACGGCAAAGCTTAACCGTTGGACAGCCTGGGCAAGCCAATCCATTCAAAGAACCACAACATGCGCCTGTTGAGTGGTTCAAGTGCAAAAGGGTTCTGTCAGTAGATTGTGAGTGGGGTAAATGTGGGTAAATGGATTTTCCTCTTTTGAGTGTGCTTCTTTGCACACGCCAACTTTGCCAAGTGATCAGTCACTAGTAGTGGATCACCGTGTCCCTGCCTCTATCTCGACGCTCCAGCGCCCGAAGGCCCTGCCCGACGCTCGGGAGCGGGCATGGAAGAGATCTCTCTCAGTTCCAAGTGATTTAGAAGATGTGACGATCTGTCCAGCTGCGCGTGAAATTGATATCATTAGGAGTTCGAGCTCTTCTCCACTCCTGAAGTCTTCACCCCCTTTGAATCCCTGTGGCCATTCATCACCTACTCCGGCCGGTTCGACCCCGCCGGCCCAGTCGCCTGCACCATCCACCGATGCCTCCAGCGGTGCAACGCACGGCCCAGGTGCAACGCACCCAGGGAGCTGAGCACCACCGAAGTGCCTCGCCCAGTGGAGCGAAACGCCCCGTCCCGCCGTCCGTACGACCGACCCTGAGAGGGACTCTACTCATACTCATGTGGCTTTGCTTTCTTTCTTTCTTTCTTCAATTCCAAGACCCAAGGCTTTTGCAGGAAGATCAGGAGTCCATGTCTTTTTGTTCCAAGCTGGTTTGCATGATTACACATGTTGATATGGCAGACGTCAAAACAAAGAGATGCATCACCCGCAGAGGGTTAAGCAAATCTGCTTTATGGAAAGTCAAGATCTATCAAGCGTATTGTGAGTTATGCAAACACACAAAGGCTTCAGCTTCAAACAAATGGGCAGCATCCAAACCACTCAAGCGAACGAGAATCGCCACACAGGTGGGTAGGGCTGAATTATGCTGAATTGATCCATTCTGATCAAAGCAGACTTGGATTTGGCCTGGCTTAGTGTATAATTGCTGAAAAGAAGGCGCACACACACTATCACACAGGCACAGTGAGTCTATTTAAGCATGATTGCTCTGTCGCCTCGACGGTCGCTCAAACGACAAGCCCTGTGCAGGAAGTCGTGCAAGCGGCTGGACCTTGAACGAACGCTTGGAGGAAAGTCAACCTGAATGTGTAAAATTGCAAATAACATCATACCTTGGTTGTTGATTTGGACTGGGTGCAGGTCACCAATGGTCACCAGTCATGCTAAGCTGGCTAGCGGAAAACCATCCAGGGTGCCGGCATTTGCGGCCAGCATTCAGTACAAAACTGTGCAAAATCAAAAACTGGTAGATGGTTCTTTGCATCAAAAGCAGTTGGCATCACAACTGGTGCTCAATATGAGCTTCCAGCACTCGTCTTCTGAGCCAAGATCGTACGGCCATGGACCGGCCATACGAGCACCTGGGCCCGATTTGATGTACGTCGTTTAAGCCAAATGGTACCAACATGTAGCAGCATAGACCCCAAACAGTTTCAGCAGTATTTGTTCGCGTCAATTCCTTGAATTCCAATGTTGGTTGTCTTTTTGTCACGCCCTGCCGCCCCTTCCCTGAAGAATCGTCGGCCAGCAAGGTGCGAACCCTGAAACTGCAGGTAACATCAAAAGATATGTGAATCTCAGTGAAATTTGTTTTGGAAATGTTTGTTATATGATGTGTCTGTACAGGCAACATGGTTCTTTGTGCAACTAAAGAAATGTTTGAAAGCCATAGTTTCTGATTCCCTGACTCATATGTGCACGGAGAAAATCCAAGGATGATATCAAAGTTGAAACGCTGCGTCACTGTTGATTTCATAGCCACATGGAAACAAACCTGCACAAGGCGCCGGAGAAGGGGAAAACTGCGCGGCCAAGTAAGTAGGGGACAAGGCCCGGACAAGGACGGACGGCGCGCCCACGGCTGTCGTGGCCGGCCAGACCAGACCTTTTCTTCCTAAGAGAGAACCCCAACAGTAAACTGTTTGGGGAAACATACAGTATACGTGTCAGTATCTATATATCTATATAGAGAGAGAGAGAGTGAGAGAGAGAGTCTGTTAAAGAAACCAAAGACCCAAAGACCCAATGGCTCAAGGTTTCGGTTCAAGGTTCAGGTTCAGGAATAGGAGATCCACTCATCAAGCTTCAGATCTGGGACACAGCAGGTCAAGTAAATTCAGTACAAATGAATCATCCATACATTGCGTGTGCCCAGAAAAGGTTTGGCAGTTGGTTGTGTTGCGATCGTGTCCACAACAAAGCCAAATGCCAATGGTGTGGTCATACGTGGTCACATAGCATGAGCCACAACCCAGTGCTTGGAACCAAGAGAAAGACTCCTAAGCAACGCACCCAGTGGGCCAAGTGGAACTTCCCCAAAGTTGGTGTTCAGTGGCCGTCCTTTCGTGAGGTCTTGCAAACCCTGCCAGGATTGACAGGTCCAACACGCAAGAAGCCTGAGGGAAGGCAGAGGCCACAGCTTTCCAGCACCCTGGCCCAAGCATGGCATGATTTGCCTGAGGATGTCCAAGCCAAATTCTTGGCCGCTGGCTTCGTCCCTCCCCCTGAGCCGAAACCATCGCAGCATGACACATTGACGCAGACCCTTCGCCAGCATATTGATGCCTGTGGTTGTACGTGCTGTAGTTGAATCAACTGCGCAGACTCCGCAAGAACCTGTCAGCAAAGCCGAGCAAGGATGGAGTGCCAGCAGAGCTTTCAAGGAAAGCAGTGGCACACTGAGAGGATTAGCTGAGCGGAAGATACAGATTCAATCCGAGATTGAACACACCAAAGAGATTTTAAAAAGTCAGGTGGCAGATCTTCAGAAATTGCAAGGTGAAATCCATGAGGCTGAGCAGGCTGTCCTGCACATCAGCAGCAGCTCGCAAAGCAAGTGCTGAAGGATGAGCCTGATTCCCTGACGTCTTTACTGACTCAGCTTGGAATCAGCTTGACGTCCGAGCAGCGACTCAAGTTGCAAGAATTCTAGTCTGAAGGGTCGACGCGGCGAAAGCTATACCTGGACACCGAACTCAGTGCTGTTTCTGACGCTGCCATGAGTGACCGTGCTGATGATGGCAACTTGGCCAGTTTTTGCGGGTAGCCATGAGATCTGTCAGATCATGCGCAGAATGGGGAATGCTCTCAACCTGGGGTAGTAAACAACAACTTGAGCCTCTCCAGCGTGATGTCTGGGTGGGTGACATTTCTGTTGATTTGACAGCCGACACACCGGGAGCCTTGGCCGCATTGACCTTGCAAGCTTTCCGTGAGCTTAAGTCAATCCTTGCCGCCCATGGTTTTGCCTTGTCTTTGTCAAAAACTGCCACCTCACAACCCACTATGGGGTTGCCACTTGCGTTGAAAAGATTCGCAACGATGATGAACCTGAGGTTCGTCCTGCAGTCCGTGACTTAGTAGGTGTAGACAGTACTGGACGCCGTCGGCGTCGGATTCAAACTCAGCGGGAACGTCAGCAAAAAGCCCAGGGGCAGCAACTGAGTCGACTTCGCATTGGTCTCGAGGGCGTCCGCGTGAGACTAGTCCGGGGGAGCATTCACCCTTCCATGCTTCATGGCATTGAAGCGCACGGGTTGCCTCCCCAGCGACTTCGCATCCTTCGACATGCGCTTGCAAGGCAAATATAGGTTTGCAAACGCGTGGCAATGTTGATTGTTTGTTCCAGTTTCACGGTAAGCTTGAAGATCCGGGGCTATCCATCCAGCTCCGCCAATTACCGCCAATTCAAAGCAGTGCCTAAATAGGTTCAAGCGTGGCCAGAGCACCTCAGACCTTGGTTGGAAGAGGCCTGGAGGCTGCCGTCAGAGCACCTTGACGGGCGCCATGCAAACAATCCAAACTATGTTTAGGCTTGCTGGTTGGCAGATGCAAGATCTAAGCGAGTGGTCGGTCACCTGTCATGACCAGACGTGGGTAATTCGCATTGATGATTCTGTTGAATACGGTTTGGCTGTTCTTGTTGAGGTTTACCATGCACAGCAATGGCAGCGCATTAGTCAGCTGCCGTCAGTGCAAGGTCTTGAAGGGGTAGGTGATTACACTGTAGCTCGAAGTGTGTCCAAAGCTTCCGAAAAACTTGAACTGAATGCCCTCAATGCCCTAATTCAAGGAACCATTCTCCGTGCTGATAAAGGGGGCCCTGCCATGTGTTGTCCCTGCAACGCGCCAGCCACGCTGGAGCATGTCCTCCTGGATTGTCAATGGTTTGAGGACCGCCAGTTGACAATCCCGGATACAATACGGCCATTCCTTCGCACCCCTAGTTGGCGGCCTGTTTGGTTTCGAACCATAGTTCCCCGTAGTTTGTACGGCAACCCCAAACCAAGCGACGCGGCGAGCCTCGATTTGAAATGCGAAGGATGCTTTGAATTGCCTGCAGCCACACCTGGCCCCAGCTGCCTGTTTTGGGTGTCAGTGCACGGGGCAAGTTTCGGGATTCCCGCTTTCCCACTCTTTGTTTTGTTATTCATGCTTTTGACATGGTAGGGGAAGACCTTTGCCTGCAAGGAAGAATTTGGGGCCTTGTGGGAGGGCCAGGGGTAAGTTGAAGCTTTGGGTGTGTTGTTGCAAGCCACTTCCGGGGTGGTCAACGTAATTTTCGATAACTTGCAGGCGTCGAGGACTTGGCACCGCCAACGCTTCCGGAGTCACGTAGACCTGTGGCGGCAAGTACTTGAACAGGATGGAGTACAGAGACTCCGTCTCCTTCCCCGCAAGTGGAGCTGGAGGTGCAGACTGGCTGATTTCTGTGTCAGGTATCCAGGCCAAACCCATGTCTGGACCATACTAAACAGCACTGTAGCACATGCTAAACAGGTTGCATGCAATTTGCATGACCCCCAGCACCATGCTCATGTCAAACATTTAGATGAAGTGGCGCGCTAACTTATTCTTTGCACGCAAGCGCGAGTTGCTGCCATGTTGCAAGCTCCGCGGGGGGACCGCCCCATGAAACCTACAAAACCAGAGGTTTCCGACGCAGCCATAGCTGGCAACTGCATCGGCCGATCGAGACAAAGATCGCAGCAACACTAACCTGGGTCCATGTCAGGGACTTAGTAAGCAGAGCTTCTTGAAAAAACTTCAAGGTGAGGACGCGGACCCGACACACAGACCATTCAAATATGGCAGCAAACGGAGGTGTGCTTTGCGTGCTTCAGTCCTTGCGAAGCAGGAGAGTAAGTGGAAACCAACCACCATGCTCAGCAAGGCATGCCGGGGCGGCCTGGAGACCAACCGGAGGCCAGGGCTGGGGTCAAGCGAGTTTCTGAGCTCATGTGCCACATGGCAGACATCCGAACCTTGTTTGCCTAATGTGATTGTGGCCGCACCCTTGTCCCATGACCTTACTCCTGTCGGAGTCCATGGTGGACGCAGAACTTTGCAGCCGCTCAAGCCACTAGCCTCTTGTTGGCACGCCTGGTGTTGAGAAGTTTGGCCTGGAGGAGAACCTAGCACAGAGTGCATTGGAAGTGAGCGGAAAAACCAAAGACCCAATTAGCTTCAAACTCCAAGATGGCCTTGGTATGCCAAAGTTGTTTATCAGCAGTATTTGAATAGCGAGTTGCAATGTCAAACCTCGCCTGCAACTGCCTGCATGACTTTGTGCGACAAAGTCGAAAGTGTTTAACAATACTCCACGAGATCTTGCACCTTTGATGCGATTGCAAATAAAATGGCTGTCTGGAAAGAGTCTCTGGATTATGCACGAAGGCCCCAAGCAAAATCCCGTGGTGTCAAGGAAGTTCAAGGGGAGCCATGCCTTTCAGCGCCAAACCACATCCTGAGAGATGGCTGAAAAGGGCGCAACTTTTGCAGAAACTCATCCTTCAACCTGCAACCTCCGCAGAACTGCATCACTTCGTCTGAGGAGGGGCCTTCCGAAGTCACAACCAACCACGACATCAAGGTCATGCTCCAATCGCAATGCAGTTCCTTTGCTTCCCAGTGAGGTATGTCTTGGATGTTCGAAGAGCTCTTGATCTTCTCTTCGCACTCCTTTCACTAACGGCTCATCTGTGCTGCGGAGGCGCCTCAAAACAAAATCAAGTTGGTGCAGTGTACAGAATATGTGCAGATCCATCGTTGCGCAGGTTGAGTCTGGTTGCCTGCAGACGTCTTGGCTGGTTTTGGTGGAAATGGCTTTCCGGGCTCCAGGCTCCAGTCCACATTTAAGGCAGCATTGATTGAGCTGGTAGTGCACAGCATCACATCCCAGGGTTTCGTGTCTCTCCCGAATCGTGACACACTCGCAAAAAGAAAGGCCGACACTAAGGACCATACTCACAACACTGATGGATCTGGTGCAGGCTGTAGCCGGAATAGATGTCTAGCCGCTCATGTTTGCAAGGGCATCTATGTTTGTATAGAACATCTATGTTTGTATAGAATAGTAAAATATATGATATAGTAATATAGTATATAATATATATACACATATTATTTATCTATATGTTCCCCTACCTTCTCATGTTTGCCGCAGCGACGATTTCTGAGCCGCTAAAATTAAATGTCTGATTCTCTGGGCCCCCCGAGCAGCGCTTTCCAGTCTTGCTGCCTCCATCAATTCCACGTCACTGGAATTGAACAAGAAAGCCGATGAACATGGAGATCATGGAGTGTTTTTTTCCCGCAGAATGCAGCTGCCTCTCAGTGGTTTGGTTCTTTTGATAGTGGGACAGTCCTCATGTTACTCCAAGCAATTGTGACGGTGCACAGCTTCGACATTGCCAAATCAGCTGAACATGACAAGGAATAGATTGTGCGAGATGCTGGTTGCTGGCAAAAGCCCTCACCATGAATGCACGCTCCTGGTCATCACCCAGGATATCTTGGGCTACATCATACCACGTCAGCATAAATTATCTATACAAACTTACATTATTGAGCACCCAAGTGACTTGGAGCAACACCGACAGGACAGAGCTTTTGCCTTAAATAACGTGGTGAAAGTGGTGTGCAAGATCGTGCAAACCACTGTCTGGCTGGTCATCTCTAGCCTCTGGGAATCAGCTATCGCACAGGTCGAAGCCGAGCAAAGCTGCCATGCCTTCAGCACTGGGTTTAGCGAACTCTGATAGCGTTTTGCCGTCTTCGACTCCCTTCTCAGACCCTTCTTGAATTGGATCAATTGCAACTCTCTTCTATCTCAAAATTCAAATGATTCCACCTCAAAGCTCTAGGCTTCACTCAATTGACATCCCTTCGTCCAGGCTTCGTCTATCTTCATCTCCTCGTGTCCCAGAAACAGTCGGTTGTGGGCCTCCAAAGTCTGCGAGAGCGACGCCAAAGGCCTCAATTTGACCACTAAGGAGACCAAAGGCATCAACCGATTAGGCGCCCAACTGACCGGATCTGCTGTGAAGGATGTCCATCAGACGCCGCTTAGTTGGACTCTGTGGGGAAGACCCTTGGGACGGCTGAAGACCTTCTTCGACCCCCTACAGCCGATACAGCAAGCTCTTCGCTGCGGAGGTTTGCAGCTTGGACTCCATGGGCAAACAACTTAGGACTCTCAGTGACAGCTCAGTTGCTATCAAAAAGGTTGAATAAGCAACACCAATCACCAGTAAACACTCTCACTATAGAATCCTGCTTGCTGCTGCGTTTTGCCGTTGCCTGTGCATTCATTGGCTGGAACAACTAGCTCATGTCTCGTGATGTCTGAGGCTCCTCGCAAGTAGGTCTGCGTGAACTTTGTTGTATCTTTGGCCACCTGTCGACGTGTGCAGCTCAGAGCTGCACTGCTCGGTGTGCAGTCAGAGCTTCCCGTTTGTCTTGCGGGTGTTCCGACCGCCGTCGACGGCCTCAAACCTTCTCAGCCAACTCCTGGCCGTCGGTGGATCACTGAAGCGCAAGCGGATCACCTGCTGGGACGGCCCGGGCCGAACGGGGAACCGTGGATCCAGACATGCTCTGGGCCCCAAGGCTCGTTTTGCAGACGAACACGCTGCCGCTCCGGTTTTGAAGTGAAGTGAACACGATCAAACAAGAAGATCAAGAAGCGATGTCTGTGTAGCACTTCTCCCCGTAACACGCCAACAAAAGGTCGTAAAAAAGCTGTAGATTCTCCCCCTCCCACATCTTCCACCCTACTGTCCTTTCCTGCAAACGACTGTTTTTCAATTTGCAGCTTGTGCACAAGGTCCGTCTATTTCAGCGATTCGGGAGCCTCTTGTCGCCCACCAATAATGAACTTGATGGAAAGGCACGGGACCAGAGCCTGGGTTTCAAAAGGTTCTTAAGGTCATTGTTTGGGTCAAACTGTATCAAGGTAAACTAGAGCTGGAAGTAGGACCAATAGCCCTATGAAATTGAACTGTCAGCAAAAGAGACATTGAATTCCACCATGCAGGTGCATGGATTACACTAGCCTCTCTTCGACTTGCATGTCCCTATGTCAGTGCATAAAATAGTACCAATCGCAACAGCAACTACACACCTGTGTGAATGCCAAATTTCTGGGGTTCGGGGAGAACATCGGCTGTTGCGGAGAGTGGGAAGGCTTGAAAGGCATCATTGCTGTGGATACCCTCGTTTTGGGGCTGCTCATGTCCCAAACATGTGTCCTTAATGGAGCACATGTCTGTACGTAGAGACGTCGAGCTTGTCCACCCCTTGCGCCGGCTGGTCCGTCCTGGCCATCGTCAATATTCACTGAGATGATGGACGACAAACTCAACCTGGGCTTAGCCGGCTGCTGAAAAGCGGCCAGGGCAGCTGTTAGCAGCTGTTGAGGGGTGGGATAATGAGCAAAGTACAGACTGCAGATTGGGACGAACACCAACTGACAATGTGTGGCAAAGGCTCATTTGCGACTACTGCTGCTTCAGGAGACCACGATCAGTCGATCAAATTACTCCTGCTGCTGAGCAGATTCCACAACTGCGAGACATGAACCCCACAAGTGAAAATTCCTATGGAATGATTACACTTCTCAAAGGTTCTTCATTAATCTCAGAATCCGACGCATGCAACACTTGAAGTGGACTATTGAAGTCCAAGAAGAGTAGAAAGCCTTGTACCTGCAAAAGCTCTTGAATGTCAGCATTGAATGCGAGGATGGTCTCAACACACTTGCAGATCTGGTGGCAGTCTTCAGCTTCTTTGCGATAATGAAGGCGCACAAGAATCATGTTCTCCGTTCGCCATCTTGCAAGCACGCCAGCTGGCCTTTGAGGAGTCATCTAGAGATATCTAGAGTCATCTTTCAACACGTCGAAGAAAGCAATCAAGAAACATGATCTATTGACAAACTTATACGTATATGATGAGCTTTGATTGCAGGGCAAATCTTGATTGAGGGTTTATTCTACTTACGACAATCATGGTGATCTAAGCTAGACACGCCAAAGGGATCCAGCCTCAGCGCGAGGAGTAGCCGGCTGACAGATATCAGAAAGGCCATTGGTTTAAAGCTGTATGGGTGCAAGTCAATGTCAGCCATGTCAAACATCTAGCAGAACTTTGCAATGACTGATATGGAATGCAACACCCGCGCCACCGACTAACTTGAGGTGGCAGAAGGCTTCAAAGGGTTCTAAGCATTCCAACGGGCTATTTCTGCTTGTGCTGGAGGCACTGACAACCGCGCCTTGGAAGCTTCAGGCACCACAAATCAAGGACATTCTCTTCTATCAGACACGTGCCCTTGCAAGTGAGTGTCAGTAAAATGTTGTGTCTCATCCGTCCATAGTTCAAGGCAACTCAAGCACACATTTTCTCAGCAATGATGACCTGGTGTCAAATCGCCAGAAGTTCCACACATTCCCTCCGGCCTCTGCTTTCCAGGACCTCTCGCTGCTTGAGAGGGCTAAGCTGCCTCCCAGCTGTTGCATCCGTTGGTCAAAATGGCTTGCTTGAGCAGCCTACCGTCTACCTCTACAAATTGCAAGTGGCACAAGAAGTGTATGAAAAAGCAATATATCATAATATATATATATATATCTACCGGAACAGGAATCAACGTTTCAGAATACCTCCCGCAAACACAATTGTACTGTAATGCATGTAAACATATATGTACAGAAATAGAACGCCTTTCAGGGGTGACAACTTTTTTGTGAAGCCTTAGCTAGGCAAGTACCGGTCTTCCTTCTCGTCTTCCTGAAAGTGAACCGAAAGATGTCACATTCGACTCTTCGAGGGAGACGTGTTGGCGATCTGTTTCGATCCCAGGCCAGACCTTTCACTTTGGCCATCCTAGGATGCGAGGTGGTGAAGATGAACATGCGTCTCATGGAAAGGTGGAACAAATGCAACACATGCAATTCTGTCTCACTGAATAGCCACACGAATGAAGCATTAATCAATGTTTCGGGCAAGTATGCTGCAACTCCCTGCTGTATGGCAACGGGGAGATGTGCCAACAGGTTTCACTTGCTTTCTACTGCTCCACCCTCGGCTTGGATTTGTTTCGAAGAAAAAGGAATCATTACTTTACAACAGAATATTCACACAATCAGCTCCCTAGTGTTCTGAAGGCGATGGGTCTTCCTCGCAAGCTTTCGGGAAGTTCTTTTCTTATCTTTTCTGCACCACCACTCAATCTGCAGAATGTTCAAGCATGACTGCCCAAGGATTGTTGGTGTCGATTCTGTCCCACAACCTGGTTGAGGCTGAAGCTGGTCTTCGAGGATGACTGTCACTCATGCCGCACCGCATTGCGTGACTGTTCGTGCCAGTCCAGTGAAAATTGAGTCCAGTAGGATAAGTGGCTGTGGCCCCATATATATAGATCCAGCGGCATAGAAATCATCAGTAAGTAAGCGTCATTCCGTCTTGTCAACAAAGTTGCGATGTTTGTCTTTGTTCCCCACCAGCGAAGAGATACGACGTAGAACCAACAAATGTTTCTGCTCGTGCGGAGATTGACCCTGTGCTGCTGTGCATGGTGCAAAAGCTTCGAACATTCACAAGATCCAATCGGCTTCTGTCTGGTCACAAAATATCTAAGCATCAAAATACATGCAACACCCAACACCCAACCTTGTGCAAGCTGATGTCTTGAAGCGCTTTCAGAAAGGGCCAAGGACTGAAATCGCTGATGATTCATTGCAAGAAAACGACTATTGAAGTGAGTGACCCTTAATTGACAGAATTTGTGCTAATCGTTCATAATCTTTCGCTTTAGAGCCTGCTGCCAAGGCTTCACAGGAACCAGTTTTCGCGCCATTCCTTTTGTCACTCGTCAAACCAGCAGCTATTTGACAAAGGCGGTTCTGGATACCAGGGTGTTCCTGAAACCTGCGTGACATGATGGCAGTCCAAGCAAAATATGCAAATGTGTAACAATGCCCGGTGTTCTATCAGATTGTGCTGTTTCGGAAGAACCAGGCTTTATCCCAAACACATTGCAAAAAGGAACTCTCCGAACAAACGCCTTTATATAAAGAAATTGCTATTGCGATGGAGGTGTGGGCTTCAAGCTAAAAGAAGAGGCTACGCTTGTCAATTTTTAGTTGCTGATGGCAAATCTCTCAATGAATACTCTTGTCCGTCTGGGCAATTCATCGAAAGTAGGTTGCTAGCAGTGTCTCTGTGCGGAAATTGTGGTCAAAGCTCCATCAACACTAGCATGACCCATGATTCTCCCAGAAACATTCATTGCTTGGCCTTGGCAACTGCGACTCTGCAAAGGCAGCATCAGACTGCCATGCTGGAGCAAGAAATGAAAACTACTATGCTAGCTGGTAGCTGTCCAAGCTAGTAATGCTACTCTTGTTGCTACTGTTACTGAATGCTACTTATACAGTGCTATATTGATTGTTTCCAAGCTCTTACTGCTACTTAATTCTACTTGTCCACCGTTGTCAGTGCCGAAAACACTTCCCTCGTGCCGGCCACTTCTGGGTGTAGCTATGTCTTGTGGAATGTTCAGAGTCATTCTGGTGAAATCTGGACATTGTTTGGTTTCTTCGTTTTTGTGTTATTAAAGAACAGCAACAACAATTGAAATGATTCCAAGAGGTCCTCAGATTCGCCTCGACATCCTCTGATTCGGCCATTTGGGACCTCGTCAGTCATCTTTTGAATTTCAGAATCCTGCTTCAACTACAGGGTATTCTTCATTATATTTCTATCAGTAAACATGGACTGTTGGTAGCTTTTTCAAGAGGCCAAACCCTAAACGATGGCAAGAAGAAGTTGCTGGTCAGGTTGAGTTGAGCTCTAGACTTCAGAACAAGACCAAGACCTTCAAATGAGAGTAGCCAAATTACAAAATCCGACAGCAAAAGCCAAGGTAGCAAAAGTTTATAGAAGTTGTATGAGGTGCTGACAAAAACCATAGGAACAGCTCCCGTGCTTCTGGATCCGCCAAAAGGCCTTGCACCTTGACTCTCAGTCTCAAGCAAAGCGCAAGAACCGCTCTTTGGGACACAGCAGCCCAAGGCTAAGTGAGTTCAAACAAATTATATAAACGGTTGCTTCAAGGCCGAGAAAAGAGTCCAAACCAGTTATTACTTACTATATCTTACTATAATGAATACCCCACAAGAGTTATCTTCTGAAACACTCAAAAGAAAATTTGGGGTTCCTCTACACCTCACATGAAAAAAAGGCATGTTACCCACTCTCGAGTCAAGGTCGGGACATGGGGGTATAAGCAACGCTTGAAAATGCCGGGACAGGCCGGTGACCGGAACCGTTTCCGTTAGCAGTTCTGCGAGGGTTCTTCAGTGTTGCCGATGATTACCAACCTCCTTTCCTTAAAGTAGCTATCTTGTGTCCCTCTCAAAGTCTTTGCTGCCCTCATCTCCCTTCATCATGGTGTATACGCCCGCTAAAGAAAAGACACAATGAAACAGTATGAACGTGGTAGGATGTACTAGCAGTTTGTAGCAATAGTAATCTGTAGTCATGAGTCATTAGCGATATTGACTTCTCTCCTGTAAACAGTTCTCTCCCTATAAACCTTGGCGTTGTGGGTGTCACACCTAAAAAGTATATAATACATTCAGGGCGCAGTGTCGAACGACTCCAGCCGTGCGAGGTTCTCATCGCAACGCCTGGCCTGGAAAACCACACGGTGCGGATGATATTCTCGTCGATGAGAACATGCTTGACTCGCCCAGCATCATCAGTTTTCAGCAAAAGGAGCTTCCTACTTTGTTGCCAAGGTCGGTCCATCGTCTCGGGTGTCCGCATGCGGGAGGACATCGTCTCGCCACACGCGCGAGCGGACGACGTGGAGGACGACGCCTCGATGTCTCCAATGACATTGTGAGCCTTGGCCAAGAGCTCAGCTTCAGCAAGTTCCTGGCGCAGGAGTGCTTGATCTGCTTGATTAGGTAACAGTCTTGTCAAGCAACATGAAAGGGCAACGACAAAATATCCAAGCGAAAACACAAATCAAATCAAACGCACAATCAGCTTTGAACATATCAAAAACGAACGCGATTAACAAATTCCCTCCAAATCTGCAGCTCTTACAGCCCCCTGCACAGGGTTGTTTGTTTTGAGTCATGTTCGATTATTGGTGCTTGCCTTTAGAATCTTCTTTCTTTTCGACTTGACTATTGTTGCTGCTGGTGCTGCGTAATTATAAGGCTGGAAAAACCTACAACCCCAAGATACCACAGTCTTGACAATTGTACACAATTGTCTCACCTCAATGGAAGACAGGCATGTCGTGCCTGCAGTCGTGCGGTCAAGGCTTTCAACCAACCTGTGGACCGAGAGTACGGTATGACACTGTTCTGCAGACACCGAAGACTTGGTATGAAACTGGCCGTGATCGAAGACTCGGTGCGTTTGGCTTCAGTGGTGAAGATATTTGTTTAAAGAGCTTCTGTCAACTATCAAGTTGTTTCTTTGTTTAATCTATCTATAATATAGCATTGATCACTTACAGGGAACTGTTCTTAGACTAGCATTCATCCTTTGCAACGAAGCTGCTGTTGCGGTGCTTGCTGTTCCTGGCGCTTTGCAGCAGCATGCCACACATGTTGTGCATGAAAAAGTGGAAGGGTAAGTGTATGGTAGTGGTGTGCATGCATGTTGGCCAAAAGGACCGGCCGGCAATCAGCGCAATCAAAACTTCACTCACTGAAACCCGATACGATGTGGTGAATTGGAATTGGAGCAAACTCGAACAACTGCAAGAAACAAAACAATGCATGGAAGACCGATTGCTTCCCATTTACAGACACCTTCAATATTCTTCAATAGTGGTATTCTTGTGGGGAGGGTTTCAGATCAGAATTGCTTCAGCTTGCCCATTCAGCTTGCGTATCGAGTCGTGGGCTCCTTGCTCGCCTTGGTCACACAGTCATGTCAGGATTCTGCACGCAGTTTGGGCAGGGCTGGGACTACATCTTGATTACCATGACCTGGCAAAACAATTGCAATTGTCCACAAGGCGTGTGACATGGCGACAAACAAACAGCATCAATTCAAGTTGTGAGATGTTGTGAGTCTCATTTTAAACGCTTTCTTGCCGAACTCCACAACCCAAGTAGCTGGAGGCTGTTTCATTATACAATTACACCAGATGTCTTCCTGAGATGATACCCCAGGTGGTCCATCGCATGTACGAATTGTGCACTCATACGCATCCAGGCGCCAGGTGCTCTCTCCGCCGCTGCTCCGAATTCGCAGGCTGCAACTGCCCTGAAGGGTGTGGTGGATGGAGGACTGCCAACAAAGAGAGGCAAGCAAGGGAACTCTGGTGCATCAAATCGACGAAGAATGGAGGCAAAAGGAGGCAATTCATCTTGTGTTGCGTTGGCTCACTTCGCAAGCCCCAAACTTAAACAGTTTATATACACACAAACATGTTGGAGCAATCTCTGCCGTCCTCCCCGTCCTCCTCCTCTAGTGCTTCCACCCGGTCGAACCGCTGCAATGGCAGCTTGATCATGCCAGAGCCCAGTTGCGGAGCCTCCAGCTGCAGCTGCAGCTCGTAACGCATATATCTGAAGTGTATTAAGACTAACTTGTTTGATCAGGTCGGCATGAAGTATGCCAATGCCGAGCATGGCGTGCAGTTTCTATCCCATATACAGCCTAGGATATCCTGGGATTCAGGATACAGTAAAAAACCAAGCAAGAATGCAACACTCTGTCATTGATACTCCTCGCTCCTCACAGTTTGTAAACATTCTCTGCAGTCTGCACATGTGCTTTTACAAAAACACATCTGCACCATCTGCACTACTTCAAGCATTGACCTCTACCACTGCAACAAGCCCAGATCTGTTTCTGAGGTGGGGCCGTTCAGTCACATGTTGTCACAGCGGGCGCCTCAGGATTTGAGTGCCAAAAGCTCTCTCTGTCCAAAACAACCTGAGGACGGCGAAGTCGAGGATGTCATCGACGGCTGAGCCTGTTTTGCGGTTGGCTAGCGGAGGGACTCAACCAAAGGCCCCTTTTGGGAGGGGCGGCCTATATTACCTATATGGGTCCTTGTCGGAATGCAAAGAAAGGTTTCTCTTTTTGGTCCACAATGGTATACATAAAGCTATGACAATTGAAGCTTCCCATGCTTCCCATATATCCTTTATGGGTTTTACCAGCTCACATGTGACCATTTCTCTTTGATTCCATGCTTTCAAATCTTAACTAGCCGATCCGATATTAGAAACCTATAGACACCTATCTTCCTCGGCTCACGACTCTAATGGTGCTTTGTGAGCAGTGAGGCTCTCCAACAGCCGCTCAAGCCAAACAGACAAGATACACTACATCTTCGCCAACCACCTGGGCTGCTCCATTGAAGACATTCAAAACGTTCGCAACGCAAGAAGACTACAATCTAAAAATCTTTGTCTGCACTCCAAACGACCACAATCCATTCTATATTTCAGATTATATATTTCAGTAGAATTATCGTGGGAGCTAAGGTTGTGGTTCAGTTCCCTTTACAAAAGCCTCAACAACCCCTCCCTTGCCCAGCTGCCCTCCTCACATTAACGACTTTACAAAATGTTCTGCACTTTACTGCTTAGACAAAAACAAAAACAACAAAAATGCCCTTGAACATATCAAGCTGAAGAAAACCCTCCGTAGTGACATCAGATCTGCGATTTAGATTAACGTTGACGTGCTCTCCCCATTTCTACCCATGATGAAAAAGCACATCAGGACAAGGCACTCTCTGTGAGGCATTCCAACTCACCCCTCTGCAAGATGCCATCCTCTGATACTGAAGGCAATGGCCAGTCCACATCACCTTTGTGTCAGAAAAAGGAAGACGTGATGCACTGCAGAATGCCTTGCAAACACCTGGAGAATGCTCAATACAACGATGTTCAATCTGAAGGACTCTATGCCAAATCAGGAATCAGGAGTAGCCTTGGTGAAAGTCCATGCAAATCTCTGAGATGACTTTAGGCAAAGCCGGGATTTGTGTCAATGGTCTAAGGGTGGTCGGTTCATCTCTTGATTCATGACACGTCATGCCTTCAAGAATTGCATGCTAAAAGTATGCACTGCTGCCGAGGACCATGGCCTTCATCGCCTTCGAAGGTGCTGGATCCTTGTCAGGTGCTCGTAGGGTTCTATGCCGCATGGACTTTAGCAAGTGCTCGTATCCAAGGCTTCTCCATCGATGTTGGAGCCTATCACCGACTTTAGTAGGCCTCAAAAAAAGCGCTCCTAGCAAGGGAGAGAGAAGGAGAGGAGGAGGCAGAGAGAGCACCAAAAGAAAGGGTGTCTCTGCCTATTGCACGGGCAAGTGGAAAGTCAGCCTTCTGTCAAGATTGCATGTTCAAAAAGAAGTCGTTTCAATCTTGCACTCCTTTATGCCCATTCTGGAACTAACATGTACAGGAAAAAGAAAACAGAAGCCATGGCTTCTCTGGCAATTTGTGGCTCCTCCCGTTCGGCTCCCTTGGGATTCCGAACGACGAACTTCTCGGAGCAGGAACTTGTAGGCCGTGCACCCAGCTTTCTCCTTCAACAGAGCTGTCAGTGATCGATGTCATGGTCTTGCATCAAGCAAACAAGCCATCGAAAAACACAAAGATCTTGCCAAGCCAAAACAAGCATGGCTTGATGCATAACGTACTAATCAATCAAGCCCTGACTCATGAAGTCACAGAAAATCAGCGAGCAAGTAAATGCGTTCACCCTTCACGCGGACTTGTTATCCAAGACTGGCATCAAAACAGGCGAATGCACCAGGGAGCAAAAAAAAAAGAAACAAAACCGAATAAGAGACCGGCCAAAGGGGCGGACAAATCAGCTCAAATTGAGCAAATAAGTGAAGGTCGGCAAGCCATGGCTGCAACAAGGGTTGAACTTTTCTAACCTGACTTCTGGTTCCTGGCATCTTACCTGTTTTACCATCCCTGACATGGCCGGAAGATGAATGGATGCTAGCAATGCAAACAACATCAGGGTTTTGACTTCACGGCTCCTGTATCCGCAGAGGTCGATCTTCTGACAAGAGCTTTCTCTCTCGTAAAGGGCCCATCGGTGCAATGATCAGCAGTTCATACCTGTGCATCCCGCTGGGTGAGAATACATCGCTCAATACAAGTGGCCTCAGCTACGACATCGGTCGGGCATCCTGGGCATCCAAAATCGGTCGTGGCAAAGTCATGGGTTCTCCAAAATCGGTGGTTTCGTCAGTCTCCCTTTCATTGGCCTGCTGGGATCCCCTTTCAGCTTGTGGCAAAGGCTCTGGATGACCTCCTGAAGTGGAGGAAAAGGTGTCACAGGAGGACGAGAACACCCGGTCTGGTCCTAGAGCGAGTCATGGAGCAATACCCGTAGCCGGAAACGTACGTCTTTGTAGGAAGACCTCTGAGGTGACCAAAGACCCAAGACCTCTGAATTGTCCAGGTGATTTTGGAACTTGTGCAACTGCTACACGAAAGCAGGTTTGGGCCCCATGAAGCTTACTGTAGTTCTCTGACCATGGCAGGTAGCAAAATGGTCCAGTCCTGCACTGAAGAGTCTTCCGTAAGCTGCAGCGTTTTGTACCTTGTAGCAGTGCATTCCGGCTGAAGGAAAATTCCTGCACTGCCAACTCGCTTGATGCAAGGAATACTCATGGAATAGGGCGTCATGGTTTTGAACCAGTTCTGTCAGATTTATATACAGTATATTATATATATACGCACATAGTCCGAGTTGCGTATTATCTGCAAAATAGACCCTTAGCATTCCAGCAGACTTCGCAGGCTTTGTGCTTTGCTGCATGGCTACACATGGAGAGCGTTCAAAACGAGCGGGTGGGAACTTCGAAGCAGCACCACAAATCACCACAAACCTTGACACTCAGAATTGGCCTCAAACAGTGGCGTCTGATGGCTTTGTGCTTTGCTGCATGGGTGGGAAGCCTCTCGAAGCCGTCAAGGAAAATGCAATCTGACTGTTCGAATGTGTGCAAATCTGAATGTTTGAGCCGGCAAGCGGAGCTTGAGCCAGAAGGTGACACCGACAGTGTTTCTTCTTTATATATCCCAAGTGAAAAAAGACACTGCTAATATTCCAAGACTGATCCAATAAAGCAATACCATGCAAACACCACACATGGTCCATACATTATGACCTACACGGACAACAATGATTGAATGCGCCATGCAACATGATGGACGCCTTGAACCTGCTTGAAAGATCTTGAAAGTGTTGTATCTGGATAAGACTAGTGACTAGTGTCCCTCACGTCAGCTAGAAAGGTCTTACGTTAAAGATTCCGGATTCTGTCAAACAAATACAGTGGACAAGCTTTGGATCCTTATGTAAGCGTGTCATTTACCAGAAAAGGGTGAGAAATCAAGTCCTTTTGCTTGCCATCTGCGGAGCAACTGCAGATCATTGGCACAGGACACCTGGCCATATCGCAGAGAACCAAATCAGTCAGCAAGAAGCCATGGACAGTTCTGGGTGTTTACTGTTAGGTTTCAACAAAGGCTCGTGAGTACATGTGAATCAATACCATTCTTCTTCGCATGGTACGATGGCCATCATCACAAACCATTTTTGAAGACCTGCCACAAAAGAAGAAACACACAAAGCGAAGTATGTTTCAAAGGACTACTGGACTACTGGCATCGAAGCCGAAAGCGTTTCAGATGGGCAGGACGCTCCTCGGCACCTCCAGCTGGTTCTGCTGGCAGCTGCTACAGGGCGGTGCCACGCTCCAAGTTTTGCCGTGTTTCCTGACGTGGAGTGAACCCACATGGCCATGCTGGTGTGAATAAAGCGCCGCTTGTTTTTGGCACGGGCAATTCCTGGTGACGATGATAGGGGCAAGATGGGGCAAGGGGTTGTTGCACATTTAATGACCATAGTGACAGAGATAGGTCAACAAAGAGTGCGGGGATGATGCAAGATGGGTGTGATGATCCCATTGGTCGAAGAGTATGACGAAGATGAAGCTCATCATAGGCTCTCCAAAAGCTCTCCAAAGTATGAATCGAATGATGCAAAGTCAAATATCAAGCAAAAATGATCATATCAAATCCTATGATTTAGTATTGCAACTTGCGTCAGACGTCAGAAGGAAGCCAACCGAATGCAAATCCCTTGCGGTTCTTCAGATCAGGTCTACATTGAGAACCTGATTTCTACATTGAGATGCACATGACACCACAACTCCTCGGTGTAATCACCAAAGAAACGGTCCAACTTCTTGTTGAAGAAGCCTCAAAGGTGGACAATTCGGAGTCGAAAACTGGAATTTGGAATTGATATGATAAAACGATCCCGCCCCTGTGAGCACTTCTTGAGTGAAACCATCCAGGTAGAGTGTAGATGGACAAGTAATTCGATCCCTTGTGCGAATGATGAACTCCTGCGCCCCCAATCTTGCTGTTGGGGCACAAGTGAACGAAACCCAAAGGGTGTGCAGAGGGTCCTATGCTCAGGGATGTGATCAGTGATCAATTTGGTCCATCTCTTGTAGAGCCGGCACATTTGTTGCGCCTGATGAGTATACCTTTTGCATCCTTTTGCTTACTATATATATTGATCAAATGCATACGCATTCTTTATGGTAGAGAATGCTAGAATTTAGGCTCCTTGAAAAAGTTGTTGTACTTCTAAAGTCATTTCTCTCAACCCGAAAGAAATGCTAGAAGCCGACCACAAACCAAGAATGTTATATATATAGTCTTGTCTGGACAAGGATTAGGTTGTAGCTGCTGTGCAAGTGAAGGCCCTATCTGATCTATTTGCAAGACGTTATCCAAAACTTAGATGTTTGAAGAGGATCTGCCGTGGGGTGCTGGTGAACCGCAACAGTTTCTCTTGAAACAAAGCAAAATACAAACAGTTTAGGAGAGAAATTAGGAAATCCTTCCCTTCCCCCGAAATAGCATGGTACTTTTGCAAAACGCTATACATCGCTATACCAAACAAAGCCCCCAGCGCGACCAAGCAACATTTAATGCCCTGTTGGCAGTGAATATTCAAGGCTGCGACAGCCGTCATTTTTTGCCAAGTGGCGATTCCTGTCGTTGACGTAGGTCCTGTCCTCGTCGTCGTTGTAGGCCCGCCTATTGCATCAAACCAGCATTCAACTACATAATCCAAGGGCCAAACAAAATGAAGACAGTCTTTTGTCGCGCACCGCGCGTATTCAAGTCACTGGTTGGCTCCAAGCCTAGCATACTATGCTGTCATTGTGCTCCCCGAGCTTGGCTGTTTCACTGACTCACTCTGAAAGTTGCACCTTCTTGAGAAGTCCTTCTTCTTCTCCTCAGAGAGAAGCTCAACGTGAGAGGTTCCAATCGCGCCTATTTCGCCTGATATTCGATATCATTATCACGCGGCTCGTCCTAACATATCATGGCCGAGCATCCAGGATCTTGTCCATCGCTTCTCCCAAGCGTTCTTTTGCCTGTCAGCGAAGCCAGCTTCCAATCAACAAAGAAACGGATGTGGCAAAATCCCTGGATGCAAGCACGTGCAACCCACCATCTGCACACGCAGACTCACTCACACAGATGTAGGGCCAGAGGTGCATGCGAATGTGCAGGCAAGAGCACTTGCTGCTCGGTCCAACTGTTTATGCTCAAGCCTCCAGAATATCTTGCCGCTTTGAAGTGGTTCCCTTCCGAAAGGTGTATTCTAGAAATTCAAAGCACAAGAACTCTCCGCTCCAGCAAATCACTCCAGCTCCGGTCCAGCTCCAGTGATATTTCTGGCCGGCCTGTTCGGTGGGTTTGAAGCCAAAGCCAGCAAACTTCAGGCCTAGAGCATGCAAAGCGCCCATGTTCCGTCGTCGCTTTGAACTGACAAGACATGTTTTCGTGCTATGCGGCACCAAAGAAAGTCAGTAGTCGGTCCTTTCCTTCGAATATGAGTCATGCGTGCAGAAAGTCAGTAGGAAATAACTCTGACAGAGTAGGAAAGGAAACAACTCCTCGCAACTTCATGAAATTCCTTGGGCAGCATCCACCATCTCCCAAGCAGATCTGTTAGCAAGTTCCTCATGGTGCATTGTACAAGGGCGACAGCGAATTGTGCTGCAGCCAGTCCTTTTTGTTCATGTTGGAAGATCTAGATAGGCATAGATCTAAAAGGATTAACACCAGTTCTGCAGTCTGAGGCAGGAATTCAAGGCATGATCAATCATGAGGCCAACAAGTTGATTCAAGCCAATCTTGATGTTGGTAAAGAAGAATGGGGGCTTAAACAAGTTCCACATAATCTACCAGGTTTCACAAGCAAGTCTGTCCACAAGTCCACACCTCCATCACCGTCCTCTTCAATTTCCTTCTTCTGCCTTTCATAGGCCTGCCAATTGACCGGTGCCTAAAGATTCTCATGAGAAAAGTTGGCTTGTCTCATCAGTCCTGCTTTCATGTTCTTTAAGGATCTCAACGCCGTGAATATCAAACCCTCACGGCAACAAAGGCCATCAAAGGTCCAGAATGGACACACGCAACTACCTTCAGTTTCGGAATGGTGTTCACTTCCTGGTGCTACAATGTGCTACACTAACGGCACTTATGGTGCCATCATCTATGTTGAGCTGGAGCAAAGCGTTCTCTACGACATTTTATAGTTTGGCTGCAACTTAGGAAGAGGTTGTCGTCAAGTTGTCGTCTTAAGCAACTCGAAGACGAGAGCACAAACGTCATGCAATCGATGTGCAAACCTTTCCCTGTCCAGAGCCTCTTGGTTGAATTGCACGTGTTTCAGTCGCTTCTCATGGGCACGTAGCAGAGAGTCCTCATTGGCAGCAGGTTGTTTAGGTTGGGGTGGAGGTGCAAAATCCCCAAAGGTACCCAGAGTGGCATCAGATTTGTCAGTGCAAGCTTCAACTTTTGACTAACATGCTTGTACTCTGACCAGGATGAGTTGATTTCTTGGCAGTCACATCCCACATGCTGCAAGCTCTGCAAACCTGTGTGTGTGTGACTCGGCAGCAGCTTCAGCGAGATTCCTGGTTGAAGACATCCCAGCCGAAGGCATCAGGATTTCCTCTTTTCGAGAGCTGGGTCGGTTGCAAGGAAGCAGTCTCAAAGACTGTTGGCTAAATTAAGTTGCGAGTGCCACAACATGGCTTCACTTGTCCAGGAGCTTGCAACCAGTTTTGACCAGCTGCCATAGAAGCGGAGGGTGCTTAGTGTCAATGCGTCATTCAGTTGGGGCCGAATCATATTTATGCTGATTTGGATAGGGCCCTACCAGCTATGGAGTTGGTGTCCTTTCTTCTTCTTTGCCTCACGCTGCTCTGCATACCTCAGGTGAAAGAATGCATGTTCAGGAGATGGAAGCGCTTAGTATCAAGCAGGGTGGAGAAGGAATTTGCCCAAGTGAGCAGCTCGGTGGACTTCAACTTTTGCGCAATCCCGAACAGCAACTATGTTGCTTGTTTAAACCCTATTCTTCGTCGCAGTTATATAGGGAGAGAACCCCAGAGTCCGTGACTGCAAAGTGAAGCACTGCTCAAACTTGCATTATCAAAGAATACATTGTATTGAATCCTAGGAACAAGGTTCGCTACTAGTAACAAGTGCATCGCTTCTAGTAACAAGTGCCTTACTAGTAGTAACAATGTTTGCTATTAGGAACAAGAAGCTAGTAGAAACAAGTGCCACGCTACTAGGAACAAGTGCCTTACTAGTAGTAACAAGAAGCTATTAGGAACAATGTTCGGTCCTTTTAACACATTGTATTGAATACATCTTCGGTTCTCAGACCGGACGGACAAGTATGCCGATACGCCGGTTTATGACACACACGGCTGGCTGCAAGTTTTTGCAACGCGGAACTTTCTCTTCCCTTCTTCCTTTTGAAATCGGCCCACAGAGGCAAATCTCTGGATGCTTCATGTATTGCCAAGTTTCTCTATGGTGTCCCCAAGATACTCCTTTCCGTCTGGAAGGTTTGATTTCCTGGCAACCGTTGCCGACTCAAAGATCGCGAGCGAAGGAAAGAGACTCAGTCTCTGCATTGTATCATATCAGAAAGGTGGATTGAGCCGGAGATGAGTATCAGCGCTTGGTTCCAAACCCATAGACGAGTGACCTATATAAATTAGCTATGCAAAAAATTGAAGAAGGCCGAAGTCTACGTGCCTGTTCCGTCATCAATCACAAACGGAGCAACACGCAAGTGTACAGCCTGTTGAGTATTTCTACTGTATATCAAAATGACAGTACAAGTGTCATGCGGGCAAATTGGCGCAACCGTGTGCCAAACATGCCAAACTAAGCCTGGTTCGAGAATCTTTCTTGGTGTCGTCCTGTTGACAAAGGCCACGCCGATGCCGCTCTCTTTGTCACAGCCCATTGTGGTCAGATTTGGCAAAGCAAGTTCTAGCCACGTATAAATCCATCATCATCCACGTATACATCCAACTCAGAAGTGCAAGTCTATCAATACCTAAAACAAAATACGAGTAGTCTGGCAGAATCTGACACAACAGGACTGGACTGGACTCTTTAGAGGTGTCACATGGTTTCACTCTTGCGCCGAAGAGCCGTGATTTGGGTCATTTGGAATACAGTATTTTGGAGGGGGGTAACTGCTCTGACTTGATTGGTCACATGTCTTGGAGCCTCCTCCTTCTTCTCTTCTTCTGCTGTTCGCCTGGACCGTCATGTGATTTGTTGGGCTTCCCTTGCTGACCGAAGCGACCGGGCAGGGTCACATCCCTTGATTGGACCGGCGTACGGTATGCTTCGTCTAAGTCGAACATCCCAACTCTACACAAACTGGACACATCACAACAATAGCATGTCCAAGCTGAAGGCAACAAGAAAAGAACCTTCTCCTGGCAGTGCTACTGCAAACCAGCCGTAAACAGCCGTCGGGCCCTGTTCTGCTGCAATCGGAATCCGTGTCAACCATGAAGGCCTCGCGGCCATCTTCTTGCTGTAGCCAGGATCTGATTCCCTCTTCTGCTCCTCAATGACCTCCCAAACGATACAGAATTGCACACAATGCTCAGGCTGGCCTGTCCTGAGCGAAAGTGAGTCAGTGAATTTGACCTCCCAATTTGCATTGCACAGAGTGTCTTTTCTTAGGCCAAGGACGAGGAGTCTGGCACTTCAATGAAGCAGTCTTCTTAGAAGTCCAGCTCACCAAGCTTGTTAATTACGTGAAACCAAGTGATTCAGGTCCTCGTCAAACTCAAAAGCAGCAAGCGAGAGGATTCGTCTCCTTTGCGGGTTGAATAGAAACTCTTGGGATCCAAAAAAATACTTTCCACTTCACTTCGACACTCAGACTTTGGGGAGGTCACACGCACCTCTTCTCGCCGGGCCTTTTCAAGCGCAAAGTAATGTTCGTCTGGGCTGGGCATCACAAAGACTTTCCTCGTCTTCTTGGCCTCTCCCTGCTGCTTGACAGGCTCTGCTTTCTTGATCTCGATGGCGGTCTGAAGACGTCGCTGTTCCGCAAGGTGTACCAATCGACTGAAGTCAAACTCTTCCGTTCGGGACTCCTTGGGCTTCGGCTCCGGGTCCGTTTGCACTCCCGTGCTTACCAGACTCGCTGGCTGTCTCCTTCTCGAGATCTGATCCATCTGCCTGCAACACGTCAGTCCACAATGCCATGTCTCCTCCGTGTCGCCTTCGTCTCTTCCTTCACTTCCATCTCTGCTCCGTGCATCGAACCGGTGGTCTTCACCCGTCGAACGCACGGTCGATGGGGAGCCTGGAGAACGCTCGATGTCGTGTCTAGGAGACGACTGCCTGGCAATCGTGTGCAGTTCCAGTTCGAGGTCCACGCAGTGCTCTTCCGCCCCCGCGGCCTCGGTCTCCGCCGCGCGAAAGCTCGGAGAGCGTGCGGTCGCAGCTTCCGTGGTTCGATTCTCGGACACGGAGCTCTCTTTGCTGCTGGTTCGCAGGTCGGCTTCCAGATCGAAGTTCTTTTGGTCTTTTCTGGACCGTTTCCATGGCCATGTCCATGTCCACTTCATTGAATAGAACGATCAACTAACAAGTCGCACAATCTGATTGTTGCAGTATCACCCCTCCTTGTTTATACTTAGTCCAATGGCGTACAGTAAATAATGTCATTGGGGTAGGGTAGTACTCTGAACTCTGACAATCCAGGAAGCATGAAAATTGATGAACCATGCGCATACCTCATCCTCATATCCTTTTGAAAGCACCTGCAGGGACCTTTGAAATGCAGCGGGGCAAGAACTTGCACAACCTGGCAATACAAAGTGTCTCCGTTGCGAGTTCATGCCTCAGACCGTCATACAAAATTGATCGGCTCAATCATCTGGGAATGTGCAAGCATAAACAGAGAGAGAGAGAGAAAGAGAGAGAGATGTGCCCAAAGGACTGTGCATGCTGTCTCAAAATGCAAGTTCGCAGGTGGAAGACCAAATGCGGCAAACGTGCATGCGCTTCTTCCGATTGGTGTTTGGTTGTTCCCCCCTTTGAACGTGCCTCACCCAAAGCATAAGGAACGTCTTTCTCTGTGTCAGGCAAGCTCAGAAAGCACACCTAGGACCTAGTTCACTTAAACCGCACAGCCATCTCAGCCAGCCTCCTTGTTGTTTGCCACGCGGCCTGCTTGAGAGACTCTGGACTCCGAACTCCGCTCCAAAAGGAGCAACGGTCTTGCCTTCAATTCAACACCTTGCATGTCCTCAACGCTGGTTTGGGAGTGTCCGTGTAAATAACATCGAATTGCACCAAAAGGCTCTGACACATGCAGTGTTTGAATGCAGCACTCGACAGGTTGGCAGAAATGAGGCTCAACATGCCCCAGCCAGAAGCTCCCACCTTGATTCATCTTCAGCCTCCAGAGCATCCGCTCAATCGCCAGCTTGAGTGGATGCTATAAAGGGTCCCAACCAAGGCACCCGCACGAAAAGTTTTAAGGAAACAGCATTTACAACAGATTCAGAATCTAGCCAGCAAAAGTCTCATATGGCTAATGGACCTAAAGGATACTACGGATACAGTATATATCACCTGCAGAGTTATCTAAAGATATCCTTCCAGTATTCTATGATTTTTTCTAGACCTGAGACCAGCGCCTGAGCTCGTAGAGCTTCCTCTCACGCTCGGTCTTCGGTGGTGGTAGTCCAGCAGCTGCAATGCGGAGCCCGCGGAGACCGAACGACAGCTGGTGACGAACATGACTCTAAGATTCTCACACCCAAAGTGATCCCAAGAGTTCAGTATCAATTGGAAGATAATGAGCTCCACTAGACCGAAAACGCCCCTACGCGTGTAGTTTCTGCAATTACACATTCAACATGCTTCTGAGGATGCCTACGGATGAAACTGTTTACAATGATATTACATCAGACACTGCGTTATTTAGGCAATCGTATGTTAATGATACACTCAAAACCAACTGCACCATACCAGCAAGCAGGTAGGGAATAGTAGGCCATCGCTATTAGGTTGGAGGCCATTGCTTCTATCATACAAACTATCATACAATTATTAGGTTAATCAGTTGATCATCTCACACAATCAATCTCATCGAATTCTGGGGTCCAGGCTTTCACTCGGAATCGTCTCCTCCTGACCCAAGTGGCACTGGGGAGGAGAACGTCTCACCAGAAAGGCCGGTCAATGGTCACTAGGCTGAAGAGGCTCAACCTGTTCTTTTGGGAGCAATGTTTCTTTTAACAATATATATATATAAGTCCACCAGACATGCATGTGTTCTTCATTAAGTGACATACATAATTGCTTCGAAGGTTTTCGGTGACCGTATGATCGCATGATTTTCTTTGATCACTTCGTCTTTTCAAAGATACGGCCACCGAGTCGCCATGTGTGCATCCTCAAACCTTTCGTGAGTCGCCATGTTGAGCAGTCACAAGTTGGCATAGAACATCCAAAGTCACAAAATGTCATAAGTGCCCTCACGCATGCGAATGGCATCATATGGCATCCATCGGGTGGAGTATATATTCGAATGGATATCCCTGCGCCTCAGCCTTTCGTTTCAGGCTGGTGCCACTGATCTCATTGCCTGTGGCGGCGCCACCTGCAGGGTCCATGTTTGCACCTTCCATGTTGACACAAAACATAAAAGGATAAGAAAACGGTAGCCTTCCAAACCCGACCATGATTATATAATATAAGATAAAGAATAGCTAACAAATACCTATATACTTTCATATAAGTTTTTAGAATCTGTTAGATGTGGAAATGCAATCGCAAGATGTGGCAGGCAGGAAGCATCTAGGATGTCTCATACCCTACAAGTTAAAAGGCTCAACTCTCCGCACAACGGTGTATGTGTGTATTGACTTTTTTTTATATCTACAAGCGAACAGCCAATATTTACTCATGTCTCTATGTCAGAACAGACACAAATGCTCTTGGTGATGTCGCAAGATGGTCTAGGAATTGATCAATTATCCTCAGTTGAACTTTACAACGACGACACCTCCCCGTACAAACCACCTCGCATTCATTCCAACGTTGTCGATTTGGGTGCAAATTCGGGTAAATTTGTGTGCGAATTCGTGAAAAGCTTGAACTTTGGCACCATCACCTGGCTTGCCAGCCAAGATCTGCTTCCCCTGTTGCGCGGCGTTCGCCTGCAGGGCACGCCAGACATTTGACAAGTGAAGGTTAATTGAAGAATCCTGGCCTAAACATGTCCCACAATGGCAGCACCTGCCTCATCTGGTTCTATCGGGTTATATGTTTGGTCCATACAAAGGGATGTCCTGTCTTCAGTGATTCTTTTATATTAGCTGCTCTTAGTAGGCTGTTAGTTCACGCCATGCAGCCCAAACGGTCATGCACATTCGTGCCCAGCCACCCCACGGTTTTCATGTCTCTCGTTGGTCCCCAGTCCGCCTTAGGGGCAACATCTTCTGTCAGGTTTTGGATCTGCTTGCTCATCCTGGGCCACCAGGTCGTTTACAACGAATGGCACAAGTTCTTCGCCAAATGGCTTGAAGTTCTTCTGGCAAACATGAAGTCATGATTGGCATTTGGCAGCACGCACCCAGCAGAGTGCAAAGCAAGTGACTCAGTGTGGAAGTCGACTCCACTTTGTGTCTTTGCGCCGACCTGCAAGCCAAGTATGGCCATTTCGTCAGCAACACAAGTCTAAAACGATATGATGTTGTTTAATGCGCAGCCTCCAAAAAAACATTGACAGCGAGCAATTGTCAAACGCGACAAACAAAAGCTATACCAAATCAACTCTCTGGTCGTGTCGATGTGCTTGGCGTGAGGGGATGGACCTAGTAGAATTGTCAGTGGTGAGCCGGTCCACTTGCACCTGATTGAATTGCTGCAGCAAAATGTCTATTCCCAGTCCCGACTGTGGAACATCCCTGGAATCTGGAAACACTGCCACTCATAACACTACCACCCGCCAGCCTCTCCACAACCAACGATGGTGCAAGACACCCGTGGGCGCTCGTCCCGGTCCTGAGTGGCTGGCAAAGCGCAAACTCGAGCAATCTGCTCCGCTGCAACCAACCATCCGATAATCTAATTCTGATTCTAGTCCAATGTAACCATCTAACTAACCATCTATATAATACATTCATACAGTGTTCAAACATACTATAATACCAATCAACAACCCATTTTGCTCAAACATTCTGTCTCACCCACCAAGTCAGTCCCCGATCCCATCCGACCGTCCACACTTCGGAACATCGAGGCCCCATCGGTTGGCACGGCAGCTACTGCACGGATCACGTCCATCCCTTCAACCACCTGGTGGAGGGTTGCTGATGCAATCTGTCAGACCCTGCCGCATTCTACGTCCAAAACGAAGTTGCAAAGTACATGTATTTGTGAGCAGCTTCATTTACTATGGACTTCTGGAAAACTGTGATGAGATTAGACCGCAGTTTTACGAGTGCATCAACACATCGTGGCATCGTCAGCCAAAACTGAGTGACGTTTCGATTCCTGTCTCCTTGTTCCACATTACAAAGTAAAGCTGCGCTTTTTCAGGACACATCCGCGCACCTGACCGAAAGCAATGTGCTTGTTGTCAAGTTGCACACTGCGCCTTCACAAGCCGAAAAAATGGGGGTTGTGGAAGGGCATCCTGAACGTGCGTAGAAAGCAGAAAACAACGAATTCATGGCAATGGCAAAAAAAGACTTCATATCAGCCACCTATGACTATGACCATCTGAGTTGGCGTCCTCAGTTTCTGGTGGAGAACTGGAAAAAAGAAGAAACGGAGTGCTCCCCTGTTGCGGAAGATCCCTTTCCAACCACCGCGGCTGCGTACTTCAAGGTGATGAAGAACTGTGAGCCATTGCTGTTTCGGCCTCACAAAGCATTGGAGCAGTTTCTGAAGAACGAGCTTTCGGAAATGGCATCTTTGCCAAAAGATGCCAGGGATGACCCGCGTGGCCGTGTGGTCTCTGGGAACTGCATGTAAAGAATGTTTATGAATAACAAGAAGCTACTAGTAACAAGTGCATCGCTACTAGTAACAAGTGCCTTACTAGTAGTAACAAGAAGCTATTAGAAACAAGAAGCATACTCGTCTGGATGTTGATTGTGATGGAACGGTGTTTTCATGTCTGTGGAGGGAAGTTGAGTCGAGGGGCAAAATAGGTATCTCAACAAGGCATGTTGGTTACAGCACTCAAGTCAATATTCTACTGACTCCAGGTCAATCTGGACTTTTGCCTCTTCTCTCACAGATCTCGGTGTCCAGGCCTTTGTTGGCCATACTGACAACGCCTGCCTGTCAGCAAGCTGGTGTCTCTTTGGGGAATTAAGCACCATCCCAAAGCAGGCTGGGTGAAAAATAGTGAAAATCCATCTGGCGTGGTGGTGAGTTCAAGTCTCTGATGTGCATACGTATGCCATATGAAATGTGACAAATTGTGCATCTCATCCCTATCTCTACTCTGCACCTGCCTGGGTATGCCGCCTAACAAAGTCCTCATCATTGAAGGTGCCCCCCGTAGATGCTCTCACCACCTACAGTTGCAAACAGTTCTCGTCTGTGCCTCAATGCCTTGGGAAAACTCTTCCAACGCTTGCAAC